TGGAGACAAGTTTCACAGTCTTGCCTGTCCTGAGCTGGCCTCAAACTGTGATCCTCAGATGGCAGCCTCCTGAGTAAGTTAGGATTACGGGGCGGGGGGGGGGGGGTCTAGCCTCCCAACTCTTTTTTGTTTTTGTTTGTTTGTTTTTGGCAGTCCTGGAGCTTGAACTCGGGGCCTTCTGCTCTCCTCATTGGCATTCTACCACACACACCCCCTAGTTCTTTTTATTTATTTATTTTAGGATAGGGTCTCACTAACTTTTTCCCGGCTGGATTTGAACTCAGGGCTCTCCTGCCTCTGCCTCCCAAGTCGCTGGCATTACAGGTGTCCACCACTGTGCCCAACTGGGCCTGTGGTGTTTGAAGAAGGCTAAGAAATGGGAGGCAAATAGGAAACATCTTCGACCTCCTCTTAACTATGTTAGACGTGAAAAGAGGGTGGGACCTGAGTGTTTAACCTACCCTCTGGTTCATTCTCACCCAGAGAACTTCCTACCTCCTAGCCATGACATTGCTCCAGATAGCGTGTTCTTCATCAGTCTAGTAGAATGTCAGAGTGCTTAAGATTCCTCCACTGCACATTGTGACATAGAACAGGAAACCTGACATAGCTGGTGGACAGTGGGTGTGCAGGGCTGTGTGTGTGTGTGTGTGTGTGTGTGTGTGTGTGTGTGTGTGTGTGCTGAGCTTGAACTTAGGGCCAAGTACTACTGCCCCTTGTTTTTTGTTTTTGTTTTTTTTCATTCCAGGCTGGCGCTCAACCGCTTGAGTTATATCTCTCCTTCCAGCTTTTTTTCTGGTTCATTGGAGATAGGGGTATCACAGATGGATCTGCCCAAGTTGATTCATTCAAATTACATCAGTGTCTTTGGACTGTCTGCAAAAAAAATACACTACTTATCCTTGCTATCTGTGAGTATCAGGTTCTAAGCAAACCACTCATGCACGTAGGCATGAGTTCAAGCCCCAGCACTGACACAAAAAATTGCATTAGCCAAGTGTCAGTGGCTCATACCTGTAATCCTAGCTACTCTGGAGGATGAGATATGAGGATTGTGGTTCAAAGCCAGCCCAGGCCAAAAAGTCTCCATGAGACTCTTACCTCCAATTAGACACCCAAAAACCAAAAGCGGTGCTGTGGTTCAAGCGGTAGAGCACTAGCCTTGAGCACAAAGAGGTTCAGGGACAGTGCCCATGCCCTGAGTTCAAACCCCACAACTGATCAAAAAATGTATTTATAAACTGATTTGTTCAGTTGAATCCCCTTTGTACAACTACTTAAAAAATTTAAGAATAGAATTTTATTGTAACATATAATAATTAAGTTAATATAAAAGTTAATCTGAGGATGATCATTCAAAGCCAGTCCAGGCAGGAGGGAAGTTTGTGAGGTTCTAATGTCCAATAAACTACTAAGAAGCTGGAATTGGAGCTGTGGCTCAAGTAGTAGAGCACTAGCCTTAAGCAAAAAAAGCTCAGGGGCAAAACACCTAGGCCCTGAGTTAAAGCCCCAGGACTGGCAGGCACACACACACACACACACACACACACACACACACACACACACACACACACACTTAGTTTATATAACATTCTCAGAGTTATTCTAGGCAATTAGAATTTGAGTGGAGAGAATATTGAAAAGAATATTATAGCCAGGTGCTGTTGGCTCATGCCTGTCATCCTAGCTACTTAAAGAGGCTGAGATCTGAGGATCCCACTTTGAAGCTAGCCCAGGAAGAAAAGTCCCTATGAGACTCTTATCTCCAATGAACAACTCAAAAACGGGAAGTGGAGCTGGGTGCTAGTGGCTCATACCTGTAATCCTAGCAACTCAGGAGGCTGAGATCTGAGTATCATGGTTCAAAGCCAGCCCGGGCAGCAAAGTTCATGAGACTCTCATCTCCAATAAACCATCAGAAAATCAGAAATGGTGCTGTGGCTCAAGTGGTAGAGTGCTAGCCTTGAGCTGAATAGCTCAGGGACAGTGCCCAGGCCCAGAGTTCAAGCCCCACAACTGACACACATACAAAAAAAAAAAGAAGAAAAAGAGGGGCTGGGAAGGTGGCTCAGTGGTAGAGCGCTTGCCTTGCAAGCCTGAGGCCCTGGGTTCGATTCCTCAGCACCACATAAGCAAAAAGAAAAAAGCCGGAAGTGGCGCTGTGGCTCAAGTGGTAGAGTGCTAGCCTTGAGCTGAAGAGCTGAGGGACAGCGCCCAGGCCCAGAGTTCAGGCCCCACGACCGGACCCAAAAAAAAAAAAAAAAAAGAAGAAAAAAGAATATAGAGAGAAAGAGACTGAGAAAGAGTGTACACATTTTCTAAAGTCAACGAGCTGCAAAAATAAATAGAAGGGAAAGGAGAGTAGTTCTTCCTTATTTTTGCCAGTCCTGGGGCTTAAACTCAGAGCCTGGGCTTTGTCCATGAGCCTTTCTGGGCTCACAGCTAGCACTCTACCACTTGAGCCACAGCGCCACTTGCGGCTTTTTCTGCTTATGTAGTGCTGAGGAATCGAACCCAGGGCTTCATGCATGCAAGGCAAGCGCTCTACCACTGAGCCACCTTTCCAGCCCTTAAGCCTTGTTTTTTCGTTTCTACTTTTCCTTACCTCATGCAGGAGCTCTTCTGTACCAGCCTTGGTGTTTAGTAACCATGAAATTTAGAGAGCACTTTTCGAGCTCAGCAGCTTAGAATGTATTAATCCATCTCAGCAGCCCTCAGATTATAATTAAATCCCATGTACCAGAAACAATCCTGGACTACGTGAACTGAGAAGTGGACCAGACAGCTTCCTTTCATGAAGACAATTAGTTTCCATAGAAGGAAACAAGACAATCAACAGATTCAATAAATTTACTTAATAATAATTCCGTTCGAGTCTAATGACAGGTGATACTAAGGGTAATGAGCCCAAATGAAGTAACAGAAAGGGCTGGACAGGAAGGCAACTATGATTTGATTAAAATCTTCATGGGACATAGTTGTATTATTGAGATGGAGGAAGCAATAACGCACTACAGAGTTACAGATGTAGGAAGTTAGTGTCATTGGCAAAGAGAAATAGAAACTTCAAGATTTATATCTATCTACCTATTTACTTATTTTTGGGGTGTCAGTCCTACAGCTTGAAACTCAGGTCCCAAATACTGTCCCTAAGCTAGCATTCTACCACTTGACCTAGAGCTCTATTCCCAGCTTTTCTGGGTGCCTCATTGGAGATAAGAGTTTCGCAGACTTCTCTGCTCAGACTGACTCCAAACCACAATCCTCAGGTTTCAGCCTCCTGAGGAGTTAAGATTACAGGTGTGAACCACCAGTGCTTGGGCTTAAAGACTTTGAGATTTGTTCTTGGCCTGAACAAGGAAATGAACACTAAGTGACATGTGTTGGTAGTGGAGATCTACAGGCAAAACGTGTGTCTATGGGGCCAGAGAGAGAGAGAGAATTTTGGTTTAAAATATGAAGTTTGACAGGGCTGGGAAGGTGGCTTAGCGGTAGAGTGCTTGCCTAGCATGCATGAAACCCTGGGTTCGATTCCTTAGTACCACATATACAGAAAAAGCCGGAAGTGGTGCAGTGGCTCAAGTGGTAGAGTGCCAAAACAAACTTAGGGACAGCACAACAGGCTCTGATTTCAAGCTCCAGGACCAGCAAAAAATAAATAATATAAAATAGAATAAAATGTGAAGTTTGAGCTGCCTCTTTAGCAGCAAAACATGGAGGTTAAGGAGACAATAGACTGGGCTCACACCTACAATACACCTGTAATCCTAGCTCTTCACAACGCAGAGATCTGACAATCACCGTTCGAAGTCAGCTCCAGCAAGAAAGTTCAGGAGACTCTTAATCCCAATGAATCATCAAAAAGTTAGAAGTGGAACTGTGCTTCATGAGCCAGAATGCTAGCCTTGAGCACAAAAAGCTCAGGAAGAGCATCAGGCCCCAGTCACAGCACAACAACAATAAAAAAGAAAGACCTTTGTACAAAATTGATGCTTAAAAAGAAAAAAACTGCAAAAAAACCCGCAAAGAGTGCTAAGAAGCTGGGCATTAGTAGCTCATGTCTATAACCCTAACTACCCAGGAGACTGAGATATGAGTATCTCCCCTTAAAGCCAGCCCTGGGAGAAAATTGGAGAAGATTCCACAATTAACTAGCAAAAAATTGCTGAACTGGAGATGTGGTTCAAAATCGAGAGCATGGGTTCTAAGCCCAGTACCAGTATACATGTGCATGTGTGTGTGTGTACACACAATGTTAAGGAAAAAAACACTTGAAAGAGTTAAGTTGGGTATCAGTGGCTCACGCCCGTCATCCTAGTTACTCAGGAGACTGAGATCTGAGGATCATGGTTCGAAGCCAGCCCCGGGGAAGAAAAGTCCCTGAGCCTCTTATCGCCAATAAATGACTCAGAAAAAGCTGGAAGTGGTGCTGTGACTCAAGTGGTAGAGTGCTAGCCTTGAGCAGAAAGAGGCTCAGGGATAGCATCCAGGCCCTGAGTTCAAGCCCCACAAATGAGGAAACAAACAAAAACAACCCTTTACAGGTTAGAATTAGAAGACTGACTATTGATAGTGCATTAGGTGTGTGTGTGTGTGTGTGTGTGTGTGTGTGTGTGTGTGTGTGTGTGTGTGTGTGTGTGTGTGTGTGTGTGTGTGTGTGTGTGTGTGTGTGTGTGTGTGTGTGTGTGTGTGTGTGTGTGTGTGTGTGTGTGTGTGTGTGTGTGGTACACCAGGTCCTTACAGGAGCTAAGAAGGTGCTGATCTCTTTTATACAAGAGTTTAGGTGCGAATGCCTTCAGTTGTGTAGATCTGATCCCAGGAAAGAGGCCAAAGTGGAAGTCAGACTGGAGGTCTGCCCACTTGTAGCTTGTCTCTCAATCGGATTCAGGTTAGGCTGGGACTCGAACTCCCTTCAGGTGCTTGAGATCTTTAGCCAAACCCTTTAAATTAGGACCAAATTCAGGACCAAGGAGGCTGGCTGTCGTCTCAAGCTAAGGAAGATGGAGGACTTTCCTGATGTGGTGTTATCTGAAATCTTTAGCTATTTAGACGCAGTCTACTTGCTACAGGCTTCCCAAGTAAACAAGGTAAACGGCTGCCCATTTTCTCCTGTTCCAATCTGCCCACTTCTCCTCTACTTTATGTCAGTTCTTTTCTTTTTCTTTTATGCCAGTCCTAGGCCTTGAACTCTGGCCCTAGGTGCTGTTCTTAGGCTTCTTTTGCTCAAGGCTAGTGCTCTACCACTTGAGCCACAGCACCACTTCCAGCTTTTTCTGTGATTAATTGGAGATAAGAGTCTCACAGACTTTCCTGCCTCGGCTGGCTTTGAACCATGATCCTCAGATCTCAGCCTCTTGAGTAGCTAGGATGACAGGCATGGAGTACTGGCGCCCAGAATGTCAGTTCCTTCCTTCCTCCCTTCCTCCCTTCCTCCCTTCCTCCCTTCCCTTCCTTCCTCTCTTCCCTCCCTTCTTTCCTTTCCCTTCCTTCCTTCTATGCCAGTCCTGAGGCTTGAACTTAGGTCCTGGCACGGTCCCTGAGCTTTTTCACTCAAGGCTAGCACTCTACCACTTGTGCCCACAGCTCCACTTCCGGCCTTTTTTGGTGGTTAAATGGAGACAAGTGTTTCATGGACTTTCCTTGCTTGGCTAGCTTCGAACCACAATCTTCAGATGTCAGCCTTTTGAATAGATAGGATAACAGGCAAGAGCCGCTGGTGTTCAGCTACTTTTACCTTCCTCAAAAGAAAAAGGCATTCCAAAGTGTTGGTGGCTCACGCCTGTCATCCTAGCTACTCAGGAGGCTGAGATCTGAGGATTCCAGTTCAAAGCCAGCCCGGGCAGGAAAGTCCATGAGACTCTTATCTCCAATAAACCACCAGAAAACCGGAAGTGGTGCTGTGGCTAGCCTTTAGCTGAAGAGCTGAGGGACAGCGCCCAGGCCCAGAGTTCAAGACCCATGACCCATCAAAAAAAAAAAAAAATTCCAGCCAGGTACTGGTGGCTCACATCTGTAAACTTAGCTACTCAGGAGGATTGAGGTTCAACACCAGCCTGGGTAGGAAAGCCCATGAGACCCTTATCTCCATTGAACCACCAGAAAACCGGAAGTGGACCTGTGACTTAAAGTGGTAGAGTGCTAGCCTTGAACACAAAGTCCAGGCCCTGAGTTCAACCCCCAGGACCAATAACAACAACAAACATCCATTCCACTTTGACAAACTACCAGTATCTTAGGATCTAGTGGATTTTCTGATTACGTGGCATACCAATGCAACAACAGCAGCGATCCATTGATTTGAGGCGGGGAGAGGAGGTTGGTGACTATAGCTTCATTCCCTGTTGAGGGATTCAAATTCTTTGAGTTGAACCAGGTGTTGGTGGCTCACACCTGTAATTCTAGCTACTCAGGAGGCTGAGATCTGAGGATCACGGTTCAAAGCCAGCCTGGTCAGGAAGGTCTGTGAGACTCTTATCTCCAGTGAACCACTAGAAAACTGGAAGTGGCGCTGTGGCTCAAGTGGTAGAGCGCTAGCCTTGAGCTGAAGAGCTCAGGAACAGCCCCCAGGCCCTGAGTTCAAGAACTAGCACTCGGATATTCTCTTTGTTGTTGTTGGTGGTGGTGGTTGCGGGACTTGAACTTTGGGCCTGGGCGCTGTCCCTCAGCTCTTCAGCTCAAGGCTAGCGCTCTACCACTTGAGCCACAGTGCTACTTCCAGTTTTCTGGTGGTTTATTGGAGATAAGAGTCTCATGGACTTTGCTGCTCGGGGTTGGCTTTGAACCGTGATCCTCAGATCTCAGCCTCCTGAGTAGCTAGGATGACAGGCGTGAGCCACCGGCACCCAGCCACTTGGGTATTCTTGCTGCTCAATTACTTTCTCTCCCACAGACATGGAATTCATTGGCAAGCTCAGATTCCCTGTGGAGGTAAGAAAAGGGGCATGTATGTTAGGGGGAAAAAGGGGATGCCATTTAATAATGGGGCTATGGGGTGCTAGTGGCTCACACCTGTCACCCTAGCTACTCAGGAGGCTGAGCTCTAAGGAAGGTGGTTAAAAGCCAGCCCAGGAAAATACACGAGACTCTTTATTTCCAATGAACTACCAAAAAAGAAAAAAGCCAGAAGAGCTGTGACTCAAGTGGTAGAGCGCTAGCCTTGAGCAAAGAGAAACTCGGGGACAGCTCCCAGGCCCTAAGTTCAATTCCCAGGATGGGCACAAAAAGTAGCAATGGGCCTGTAGGCCTCTATTCTTATTTGAAGATGAGAAACATATGGGAAGGTGCACCTGAGACAAGATATTTTGTGTGTGTGTGCACACGCATGCGTGCATGCACGTGTGTGCAATTTAACAGTAGCCCCGTTGTGAACCGACTGGGAATAGCCTCGTGGAATTGTGACTTTTGTTTCCAGGAAATTGTGTCTGAAGAAATGGCGTTACAGCGGCTCCCTCTGCGAGCCCAGGAACTTGACATGGAAGAAGTTCTTCCTTGAGCGAACAAAACAAGAACGTCAGTTAGAATCTGCAACAGCAATGGACTTTAACTACCAAAGAATAACTAAGCCATCTGGTATGAACAGAGGCCCTAGAGTCAGAAGCCTGCCCCCCCGCCAATTGGTTTCTGTTTTTGGGGGGGAATGTGGGGAGAGTTGGTTGTAAGGCTTGAACTCGGGGCCTAGGCGCTGTCCCTGAGCTCTTCCTGCTCAAGGGAAGTGCTTTACCACTTTGAGCCACAGCTTTTCTGGTTTTCTGGTGGTTCATTGGAGACAGGAGTCTGAGTTTCCTACCCAGGCTGGCTTTGAACCGTGATCCTCAGATCTCAGCCTCCCCAGTAGCTAGGATGACAGGTGTGAACACTATTGCCTGTGTTTTGTTTTCCACTTGTATGAAGTTCCTTTTCTTTTTTGCCAGTCCTGGGGCTTGAACTCAGGGCCTGGGCCCTGTCCCTGAGTTTCTTTTGCTCCAGGTTAGCAGTCTACCACTTGAGCCACAGTGCCACTTCCAGCTTTTTCTGTGTATGTGGTACTGAGCAGTCGAACCTAGGGATTCATGCATGCTAGGCAAACACGCTATCACTAAGCCACATTCACAGCCTCAGATTTCCATTTTTTTGTTGGCTTGTATTTAAATCTTCCTACAACAGTACAGGAAAATAACCAGGTACCGTGGCTTACCCCTGTAACCCTAGCTACTCAGGAGGCTGAGCTCTGAGGATGGCGGTTCAAAACTAGCCTGGGCAGGGAAACCTATGAGACTCTTATCTCCAATTAACACCTCTACTTCTGTTGTTTTTGGTAGTTTCAAGATGGATAGAACACTAGTCTTGAGCACAAAAGCTCAGGGACAGCACCCAGGCTCTGAGTTCAAGTCCCAGGACTGCCCTCCCCTCCTTTCCTCTTCCTTTCTTCTCTCCCCCCCCCCCCCAAAAAAAAGGGGCCAGGTGCTGATGAGGAAATCTGAGTGACTTTATCTCCAGTCAGTTAGCAAAATGCCAGGCTGGAGGCATGACCCAAGTGGTAGAGAACCAGTTGTGAGCAAGAAAGCAGAGCAAGAGTTTAAGGCCTTGGGGCTAGGAAGGTGGCTCAGTGGTAAAGCACTTGCCTTGCATGCGTGAGACCCTGGGTTTGATCCTTAGCACCACATAAGCAAAAAGAAAAAAGCCAGAAGTGGCGCTGTGGCTCAAGTGGTAAAGCGCTAGCCTTGAGCTGAAGAGCTGAGGGACAGCGCCCAGGCCCAGAGTTCAGGCCCCACAACTGGACCCCCCCAAAAAAAATCCCAGTACTGGCTAAAAAAATAATAAGGTAAAATGGAAAATTAAAGCCAGGCCCTGGTGGTTCACACCTATAATCCTTGCTCAACCTCCTGAGTAGCTAGGATCTGAGGATCATGGTTCAAAGCCAACCCAGCGATAACATCTGAGAATTTTTCTCTCCAATGAACCACCAGAAAAGAACGAAGGGCTGCTGTGGCTCTAAGTGAGCTAGAGTCTTGAGCAGAAAAACTCAGGGACAGAGCCTGAGTTCAAGCCTCAAAACCAACCAAAAAAAAGGAAAAGGATCTTTTATTTGGCATAAGTCATTTCTAGCGGCCAAGTTGAGTGGATATTTTCTTGTAGGATCCTTCACAAACGTGGCTTACCTCTCAGGGAGCGGCCTCACCATGCGTGGAGAGGGGAAGTCGGTCATTTGTGCTGGGGCTGACTTGTCACTGTATGCCTTCGACGTACAACAGGTAAGTCTAGCCAGTGAGGACCAAGTAACTGCGCATGCGCCCATCCTGTGACACTTCATGGATATCATGCAGAAAATCATCCTCAGAATTGGTAACTAACACACGAGGGTTTTTTCTTCTATTTTTGTGGTGGCTTTTGTTTGTTCATTTATCTGTCTTTGGGGGGGGGAGCAGAATTGGAGGGACAAAAGGTGAACAAATGCAGCTATGGCATTCCCTAAACGTTATGTGGAAAATTGTAGGTGGGGGCTGGGAAGGTGGCTCAGTGGTAGAGTGCTTGCCTTGCATGCATGAGGCCCCGGGTTCGATTCCTCAGCACCACATAAGCAGAAAAAGCCGGAAATGGCGCTGTGGCTCAAGTGGTAGAGCGCTAGCCTGGAGCTGAAGAGCTGAAGGACAGCGCCCAGGCCCAGAGTTCAGGCCCACGACCACCACCACCAATTGTCTCATAGCTTTTTCTGCCCAGGCTAGTTTCGAACTGTGATCTTCAGATCTCAGCCTCCTGAGTAGTTAGTAATCCAGATGTGAGCCACTGATCCTGGCTGCTCTACCACAGCTCCACTTCTGTCTTTTTTGTTGTTGTTAGAAGATTCTCACAGATATTTCCTGTCTGGGCTGGCTTTGAACTATGATTCACAGATCTCAGCCTCCTGAGTAGCTGGGATGACAGGCTTGAGCCACCAGCACCTGGCAACCTTGATTTCAAGACTGCTTTGATTATTTGGGGGTCTTTGGCTTCCATATGAATTTTAGACTTGTTTCTAGACATATGAAAATTGTCATTTTGCTAGGGATTGCATTGAATCTATAGAGGGCTTTGGAAAGTGTGGACATTTTAATATTTTAACATTAATCTATGCACATGGGATATCTCTTAATGATCGCTTTTTATTTTGCTTTTATAACAATTCTCATTTTGCTTTTTGCTGGGTTGTGCTGGTTTGGGGCTTGAACTCGGGGCCTAGGGGATGTCCCTGGGCTTTTGTGTTTAAGGCTGGCACTCTACCAACTTGAGCCACAGTGCCACTTCCAGCTTTTTCTATGGATGTGGTACCGAGGAATCGAACCCAGGGCCTCATGTATGCGGGGGCAAGCACTCTACCACTAAGCCACCTTCCCAGCCCTGTCATTCTTGATCTCTAGGGCAGTTATCTGGAGCAGCCCAGCCCAGGACAGCATCATCGAGAAACTGGCGACTGTCCCCCAGCTGGGCCTGGCTATCACAGTGGATTCCAGTTCCAAAGTCAAAGTGTGGAACTGTCGAGACCCTGATGCTTTGGCCACTCGTGTCCTGCCTGCATCCTGTGGTTACTGTGGTGGTGTGGCTGCTTTTCTCACAAAAGATGGCCCTATCCTGTTGGTGAGCCTCCCCCGCCCCCAACTAACTCCCTCCCCAGGTCTCCCAACCAACCCAGCCGCCTTAAAGGTGCTCCCCGCTCCAAGTGAGGATGTGTAAAGTGACGTCAAAGTAATAGAGAGCTAGCCCTGAATGAAAAGAGCTCAGGGACAGCGTCCGGTCCTGGGTTCAAGCCCCATGACTGACAAAAAAAAGAAAACACGTTCTTTCCAGACAAGTCACAATGGTAAGAACACTTGGCAGTGCTTTATTGAGCCAGCGAAAAATCGGGCAAATGAAGGGCAGCGGCACACTTTTCACAGAATGTGGGTGCTCCAAAAGAGACACCCCAAGGTCTTTGACACCAGGGGTATCTGTAAGAGAAACAAGATTTGACTTAGTTATTCTAGGAGAAATGTTTTTGTTGTTGTTGTTACACCTGGCATATAGCAGGGCACCAACAACTCATTCCCATCATCCCAGCTACTCAGGAGGCTGAGGTCTGAGGATCATGGTTCAAAGCCCGACTGGACACACAGTTAAGTTCATAAGATTCTTTTCGCCAATAAATAACTAGAAACGCGGAAAGTGGAGCTATTATAGCTCAAGGGCTAGGCCACGAATCTTGCTCGTTAAACTTGGACCATTCACAGAAAAATTTTTTAATCTTTTTATTTTTGCTGGTCCTGGGGCTTGAACTCTAGGCCTGGGCACTAGGCCTGGGCACTGTCCCTGAGCTTTTTTTTTTGCTCAAGGCTAGTAGCTCTCTACCACTTTAAGCCACAGCGCCACTTCCTGATTCCGGGTGGCTGATTGGAGATAAGAATCTCATGGACTTTTCCTGCCCCCCGCTGGCTTTGAACTTCGATCCTCAGATCTCAGCCTCCTGAGTAGCTAGGATGACAGGCGTGAGCCACCAGCACCTGGTTATACATGTTATTCTTTATGATGTCCTGGCTCTGTTTTCAGAGCACACTAATTCTTTGGAGCTAGCATGTAAAGTCAGATGGAGAAGGCTGCTTTTGCTCCTTTTTTCCCCCCCTTGTATTAATGCTGGAAAAAAAATACCACGGGTTATGAAGGAGTATAAGGGTTAAGAAAACATAGACGTATTAGAAGCTAATGTGTCTACGTTTTCTAAATGGAATGTTTCTGAATTCCTGGCTACCATTTACCATGACCCTTTGTTCCTAATCTATCCTGTTTCAAAGGCGTGAAGTTTTCATTACTGTCTGGTCACAAACTCTCTTCCTGGACTTGGCCCTTTTGTGTGCACTGGCGGTCACAATATACCAGGGAATGTTAACCACAGAAACTCAGTAACAGCTTGGCCTTTTCACAAACAACCAAAATAAAAGTCTTGAAAGTTGGATAAGGTGGCTCACGCCTCTGGTCTCGGCACTGGGGTCAGCAGAGGCAGGAAGATCATGAATTTTGAGGTCAGCACTACGAGGCTAGGAATTGGTGGCTCAAGTCTATAAATCTAGGTATTCAGGAGGCTGAGTTGTGAGGATTGTGGTTGACAGCTGGCAGAGGGTAGGAAACTCCATGAGATTTTTTTTTTTTTTTGCCAGTCCTGGGGCTTGAACTCAGGGCCTGGGCACTGTCTCTGAGCCTCTCTTGCTCAAGGCTAGGCCTCAACCACTTGAGCCACAGTACCACTTCCGGCTTTTTTTGTGTATGTGGTACTGAGGAATCGAACCCAGGGCCTCATGCATGCAAGACAAGCACTCTACCACTAAGCCACCTTCCCAGCCTGATTTTTTTTCTTTTCTTTAAGAAAAAGGAGCCGGGCACCCATGGCTCACGCCTGTCATCCCAGCTTATCAGGAGGCTGAGATCTGAGGATCGCTGTTCAAAGCCAGCTGGGGCAGGAAAGTCCATGAGACTCTTATGGGGCTGGGGTTATCAGCACCATGGGCTTTAACTTGGCATTTCCCCCCTAGAAGTGGTAGAACTTGGCATTCTACAACTTGAGCCAGACCACCACTTCCAACTTTTTTGGGGGGCTCATAAGAGATAGGAGTCTCACAGATTTTCCTGCCCAGGCTGGCCTCGAACTGAAAATCTTCAGATCTCTTTCTCCAGACTAGCTTAAGAGTTAAAAGCATGGGCTGGGAAGTTGGCTCAGTGGTAGAGCACTTGCCTTGCATGCCTGAGGCCCTGGATTCGATTCCTCAGCACCACATAAGCAAAAGGAAAAAAGCCGGAAGTGGTGCTGTGGCTCAAGTGGTAGACCGCTAGCCTTGAGCTGAAGAGCTGAGGGATAGCGCCCAGGCCCAGAGTTCAGGCCCCACAACCGGACCCAAAAAACAAAAACAACAACAACAACAAAAGAGTTAAAAGCATGATTGGCTGGGAATGTGATTTAGTGGTAGAGTGCTTGCCTAGCATGCTTGAAGCACTGGGTTCGATTCCTTAGCACCACATACACAGAAAAAGCCAGATGTGGCGCTGTGGCTCAAGTGGTAGAGTGCTAGCCTTCAGCCAAAAAGGCCCAGGAACAGTGCGCAGGCCTTGTGTTCAAGCCCCAGGACTATCAAAGAAAAGGAAGGAAGGAAGATACTATTTTATGGACTTATCCTTTAATGACTTTTTGTGAGGCAGACTGGCCAGAGGTTCTGATCTCTAAATAAATGATTGCCACATCTGGCAAAAGGATAGCACCGGCCTCTTGTGAACCATTTTTCTTTCCTGTCGGTGTTGTGATTTCAGATAAATGATTATAGGGGTAACATGATGGTATTCACCCTGCCAGAGCTGCAACTCCTCTGTGAATTCAAAGTATTTCCATACACTGCCAATTTACTCCTCGGCTCCCCGGATAAGAAATGGATCTTCATATGCAAGAACCACCCACATCTCTTTCCCAAGGTAGGAGGACTTTAGGATAGGAGGAAGGTCAGGCCAGGGTGGGTCAGGGGAATCTACTTAGGGAGGGGGATCCCCGGGAACAACCTCTCTGCCATGGCCACATTACAAGCTCGATTTCATGGGCAGGAAACAATGCTCTTGGAGGTGGACATCATCTGGTTTTGATAGTTAGGCATTGGGCATTGGGTTACTCGGGAGGCTGAGATCTGAGGATCGCAGTTCAAAGCCAGCCCAGGGCAGGAAAGTCTATGAGACTCTTATCTCCAATGAACCCCCCAAAAGCTGGAAGTGGAGCTAAAGCTCAAGAGGTAGAAGGGCTAGCACAAAAGCTCACAGACAGCATATAGGTCTTGAGTTCAAGCCTAAGGATGGACACACACACACACACACACACACACACACACACACACACACACACACACACACAGAATCTTGTCTCCAGTTAACTGGCAAAAAAGCCAGAAGTGGAGGTATGGCTCAAGTGGTTGAGCACCAGCCTTGAATGAAAAAGCGAGTAGGAAACAGAGTTCAAATAAAACTTTTCCTTTTTCTCTTTCTTTTTCTCTTTCCTTCCCTTCCCTTCCCTTCCCTTTCTTTCCTTTCTTGCTTTCTTTCCTTTCTTGCTTTCTTTGCTTGCCTTCCTTCTTTCCTTCCTTCCTTCCTTCCTTTCTTCTTACCTTCCTCCTTCCTTCCTTCTTTTTTTTTGGGGGGGGCGGCGGCTTGAACTCAAGGCTTGGGTGCTGTTCCTGATGTTCTTTGTGCTCAAAGCTAACACTCTACCACTTGAGTCACAGCCCCGTTTCCGGCTTTTTCTGAGTAGTTTACTAGAGATAAAAAGGTTCACGGACTTTCCTGCCTGGGCTGGCTTTGAACTGCGATCCTCAGATCTCAGCCTCCCGAGTAGGCTAGGATGACAGGCGTGAGCCACCAGCAACCCGGCTGACAGTGAGTTCCATAAACATGTTAGGGGAAGCAGTGATAGATGCAAATCCTGCTCCAGCTGGCTTTTGAACCGACAACCTTCAAATCTCCAGGCGCTCCTAAATAGCTAGGATGACCAGCGCACCTGGCCTAGAGACATGACAGGCTGACAGGCAACTTCTCCCTTTCCCTGAGTGCGCATGCGCCATTCTTCCCTCCCTAGATCTTTTCCTCAGAGTGCTTAATGAAGACACCCAGAGGCAGCAGCCCTGTGTATTTCTCTGTGCCGTTTGCCTCAAGCATCCAAGCTGGCTGGAACCCCAGGCGGGAAAACAGGATCACGGTGTTGTACCGTGCAGGCAGTACTGGTGGAAAAACCGCCGGATTTGTGACCTTTGATGTGACCAAGGAGATGGCGGGAGGTAGCACTGTCATCCTGGGTAGGTTATGACACACACACACTCAATTAGTATAAATGTAGGAAGACAGATCCTGTCTACAGAAAAAGGGACGGGAAGCTGGGCACCGGTGGGCTCTTCCTTGCTACTCAGGGAGGCTGGAGATTCGAGGATTGTGGTTGGAGGCCAGAAGTCTCCGACACTCTTGATCACTCAGGACCAATCAACAAAACCAGAAGTGGAGGTGTGGCTTCAGTAGTGGAGAGCTAGCCTGGAGCAGAACAACTCAAGAGAGACAGCACCCAGGTCCTGAATTCAAGTCCCAGAACTGTGGTCCAAAATAAAAAGGGAGGGAGGAGAGGCACCAAAAAAATATGAGGCCATGCCTGTTGGACTCTTGTTTACCCAAGTGGACTTCTCGCCCAAGTCTAATTGATCTAGTGGGCAGACCTATTTACTTTTCCATTAAGGGGTAAGTTCCCATGACCTTTTCCTAATGCACTTCTAGTTTCCATGTTGGAGTTGTGGTTTCTCATCCATGGTCTTTTTCTTTTTTTCGTGCCAGTCCTGGGACTTGAACTCAGGGCCTGGGAAGGTGGCTTCGTGGTAGAGAGCTTGCCTAGCATCCATGAAACCCTGGGTTCAATTCCTTAGAACCACATACACAGAAAAAGCTGGAAGTGGCACTGTGGCTCAAGTGGTAGAGTGCTAGCCTTGAGCAAAAAGAAGCTCAGGGACAGTGCCCAGGCCCTGAGTTCAAGCCCCAGGAAAGGAAAAATAAAAATCAAAAGTTTTGAGGCTGACTGCTTAATGAGAAGCTTCACACCTGTAATCCTAGCGACACAGGAGGCTGAGATGTGAGGATCTCAGTTCAAAACCAGCCCGGGTAGAAAAGTCCCCATGAGACTCTTATTTCCAATTAACCACTCAGAAGTGATGCTGTAGCTCAAAGTGGTAGCATGCTAGCCTTGAGCACAGAGAGGCTCAGAGGCAGCACCCAGGCCCTGAGTTCAAGCCCTATAACCAACACACACTCACACACAGTGAGAGAGAGAGAGACAGACAGCGCCAGCAGCCTGGGCAAGACATATCCCTGAGATTCTTTTTTTTTTTTTTTTGGTCAGTTGTAGGACTTGAACTCTGGGCCTAGGCACTGTTCCTCAGCTCTTCAGCTCAAGGCTGAAGAATCGAACCCAGGGCCTCATGCATGTAAGGCAAGCACTCTACCACTGAACCACCTTCCCAGCCCTCCCCCATCTCCATTTTTGGATCATTCAAAAGAAAACCTGGAATTGGAGGTGTGGTTCAAACGGTAGAGTGCCATCCTTGAGGGGGAAAAAATCACACACACGAGTTCGAGGTCTTGAGTTTTATTGAGTCCCAGTATGGGCCTGCGCACACACTCCTATGTCCATATGATATAGCTCAATGGATGAAATCCCACGTTCTGTCATTTGAGATCAAATCATTGTGTATTTTGTTTTCAATTTGTGTGAGGATGATATGTTTGCTCTGATGTGAATAATTTAAAGTTTGCCTTCAGGTAGGTATAGATGTATTCCTGTCTGTCTGTCTGTCTCTCTCTCTCTTACCTCTCTCTTCCTCTTACCCCTCTCTTCCTCTCCTGTCTCTGCCTCTATTTCTAACTCTGTCAATCTACCTCTCTAGATAGATACCCTTTCCACCTCTCTACTTCTCTCCTGATCTTCTTTCTCTATATCTCCATTTCTTTTTTTTTTTTGTCGGTCGTGGGGCTTGAACTCTGGGCCTGGGCGCTGTCCCTCAGCTCTTTAGCTCAAGGCTAGCGCTCTACCACTTGAGCTACAGCGCCACTTCCGGTTTTCTGGTGGTTTATTGGAGATAGGAGTCTCACGGTCTTTCCTGCCCGGGCTGGCTTTGAACCGCGATCCTCAGATCTCAGCCTCCTGAGTAGCTAGGATGACAGGCGTGAGCCACCAGCGCCCGGCTATATCTCCATTTCTGTCTTCTCTCTCTCCCTACCTCTATTTCCTCTCTCTCTCTCTCTCTCTGTTCTCCTACGGATCCTACAGATCTACCTCTTCCAATCCACATCTTTTTTTTTGGGGGGGGGGTCCAAACTTGGTACCTGATGCTTTTGCTCATTGGTTAGTGCTCTACCAACTGAGCCACACCCCCAAGTACTCTGTTACAATTCTACTTTTCTCTGTATCTCCCACCCATCTCTCTGTCTAGATATATAATGTATCTATTTGTGTCTACCTCTCGACTTTTATCTCTAGATGCATCTATTTCTCTAGCTCATGTACCTGCCTTTATCTGTCTCTTTGCAGCTTTTTCTGTCTGCCTCTATCTCTGCTGCTTTCTCTACCTACTTCTCCTTCCCTATCTACATCTACCTCTTTATCCATCATCTTGGACCTCTTCTCAATCATCCTCTCCACCTCTTCTCAATTATCTCTACCCATCTCCTCCCTATCTCTTCATCCCTCTCTACCAACCTAGCAGATCTCAACCTCCTGAGTAGCTAGAATGACAGGTGTGAGCCACTGGAACCCAGCCTCTTTATATTGATCTACAAGGAGGCTTGTGTGTATTTTGCATGAAACCGGGACATCAGATCGCCCATTTCCTGCTGCCGGGTAACATGAAGAACCCGCGCTGGATGGGAGTCAGTGAAAACGATGTGGTGGTTTTTGGGAGTGGAAACGGTCTGCAACTCTTCAGTATCTACGGCAATAAACTGCTGCACTTTGACCACACAAGCTATGTCAGTCAGCTATTGGTGGTAGGTACTAGGCTTTTCTTACCCTGCTGAGTTCATCCCTCCTCCTCCTCCTCTTCCTCCATCCTGGGGCTTGAACTCAGGGCCTGGGCATTATCCCTGAGCTTTTTTGCTCAAGGCTAGCACTCTACCATTTGAACCACAACACCACTTCTGGCTTTTTCTGTGCATGTGGTGCCGAGGAATCGAACCCAGGGCCTCATGCATGCGAGGCAAGCGCTCTACCACTGAGCCACCTTCCCAGCCCACAGTCTTGTTTTCGTTTTTCTTTTATAATGCCTCTGGCCACTCACATCTGGGTATCGATTCTTTGAAGGACTCTGTCCACGTCATTGCCTGTGTGTGGCGCTCTGCACCTGTACCTGTGGGAGGAGGCCGGCCACGCCCCGTACCTCAAGAGCTGCTGTGTCCTGAGGTTCCAGGAAAAGGAATTTTCCACAATCTTGTAAGTTCTTCTTTGTGTCTTACGCTTGCCCTAAACACTTTATTAAATGGACTGGGAAAGCGGCTCAGTGGTAGAGCGCTTGCCTCGCACGCATGAGGCCCTGGGTTCGATTCCTCAGCACCACATAAATAGGAAAAGCCGGAAGAGGCGCTGTGGCTCAAGTGGTAGAGCGCTAGCCGTGAACTGAAGAGCTGAGGGACAGCGCCCAGGCCCAGAGTTCAAACCCCATGACCAACCAAAAAATGAAAGCAATGGAAACCTCAAGCAAGGAAGCCAAGTGGGAGCCCAAAACCCTTGAGTTCAAGCCCCAAATACCAGAGCCTCCCCCCACCCCACAAAGGGGTGTATGTGTTTTATGTCAGCTTATCAATCTGGGTTGAAGGTTAATACTGAGTTTTGTTGTTGTTTTTTCCCTGCTTTTGTGTTTTGGCCCGTCCTGGGGCCTGAACTCTGGGCCTGGGCACTGTCCCTCAGCTCTTCAGCTCAAGGCTAGCGCTCTACCACTTGAGCCACCTTCCCAGCCCCCCTTCTGGCTTTTTCTAAGTAGTTCATTCTAGATAGGCTCATGGACTTTCCTATCCTAGGGTTGGCTTTGAACCCCAATCCTCGAACCTCAGCTTTTGAGTAGCTTGGATTAAAGGCATGTACTGGAACCTGGCCCCAAGATTTTCGCTTTTTTCTTTTGCTTCTTTTGTGCTAGTTCTGTTTCTTGAACTCAGATCCTGCATGCTATTTTTCTTTTTTGCCAGTCCTGGGCCTTGAACTCAGGGCCTAAACACTGTCCCCAAGCTTCTTTTTGCTCAAGGCTAGCACTCTACCACTTGAGCCACAGCACTTCTGGCTTTGTCTGTGTATGTGGTACTGAGGGATGGAACCCAGGACTTCATGCATGCTAGGCAAGCACTCTACCATCAAGCCACATTCTCAGACATCACTAAACTTTCTTTCAACAGCTCGAGCTATCTAGCCTGTGATAATGTGAGCATGGTTTGCTCCTTCTTAGAAACGGAGGGTAGTGTGCTTGTTCTGTTTGCCTTGAAGAGATAAAAATCGAAGTAAATAGATTAGCCTTGTATCCTCTCCAATGTAATAAATAATTTGTTTGCAAGTCACAAAAATAGTGGTGTGTGTGTGTGTGTGTGTGTGTATGCTATTAACAAGTGGTGAGCCAGGAGCCTGTAATACTAGCTCCTTGGTGGGGGAGGCCTGAGAAGAGGAGGATCGTAATTTGAGGCCAGCCTATATGGATAAGCTTAGGCAACCTTTTTTCAACCTGTCAACTTGGTGCATTAGCAGTACCTGTCATCCTAAACTACTTTGGAGACAGAGAATGGGAGGACTGCAGTTCCACACCAACCTGGGCAGAAAAAGTTCGTGAGATTCAGTCTCCATGGAGTAAAGGTTGGGTGTGGCAGTGCATGCTTGTAATCCCAGACACTGGGAGACCTAAAGTAGGTAGAGATTCAAACACACACCTGTAATCCGAGGTACTCAGGAGGCTGAGATCTGAGGATCTCAGTTCAAATCCAGCCTGTGCAGGAAAGCCCATGAGGCCTTCCCCCTCCGCTCCCAGATCATGGGGCTTGAACTCTGGGTCTGGGCACTATCCCTCAGCTCTTCAGCCAAAGGCTAATGCCCTACCACTTGAGCAACAGCACCACTTCCAGTTTTCTGGTGGTTTATTGGAGATAAGAGTCTCACGGACTTTCCTGCCCAGGCTGGCTTTGAACCATGATCCTCAGATCTCAGCCTCCTGAGTAGCTAGGATGACAAGCATGAGCCACCGGCTCCTGGCTTGAGATTCTTTTTTTAAAAAAAAAGTGCTGGTCCTAGGACTTGAACTCGGGGCCTACCACTTGAGCCACAGCGCCACTTCTGACTTTTTCTGTGATTACGACATGAATCTTATGGACCTTCTTGCTCCGGCTGGCTTTGAACTGAGATCCTCAGATCCAGCCTCCTGAATAGCTAGGATTATAGGTGTGAGCCACTGGCACCAAACTCCAGTCATCTCCAATTACCTATGAAAAAGCCAAAAGTAGAGTTATGTCTCAAATAGTAGAATGCTAACCTTGAGCACAAGAGCTCAGAGTCAATGCCCAGGACCTTAGTTCAAGACCTGGATAGCAACGGAAAACCTATCCTGAAAATGACCAAACGGGTGAATTGTAACTCGAGTGTCTTGCAGCCGGGTGCTGATGGCTCACACCTGTCATCCTAGCTACATAGGATTCTGAGATCTGAGGATGGTGGTTCAAAGCCAGCCCAGGCAGGAAAGTCTGTGAGTCTCTTCTCTCCAATGAACCACCACAAAACTGGAAGTGGCGCTGTGGCTCAAGTGGTAGAGCGCTAGTCTTTGTCTGAAGAGCTGAGAGACAGTGCCCAGGCCCAGAGTTCAAGCCCCAGGACTGACCAAAAAAAAAAAAAAGTCCATGAGATTCTCATTTCTAATTAACCACCAAAGAGCCAGGAGTAGAGGCTATGGCTCAAGAGGTAGAATCTCAGGCTTGACTGAAAAACCTAAAGGAAAGTGTCCAGGCCCTGAGTTCAAGCCCCAGGACCAGCACATATACATATACATAAACATAACAAAAAATAAAAAAATCCCTTTAGATTTAACCACAGCCCAGGGCAAGAGGTGGAGGTAGAAGAAGGAGGAGGAGCTTGAGTCCTCTTCCTGGCGGCATGCATTCAGGAATGTAAACCCATGGATTTACAACCTGGTCAGCCAGGGTAGGAGATACGGTGCTGAGTGGCCTTTAGCATCCTTTTTTTAGTTGATCCTGGGGCTTGAACTCTGGGCCTGGGCGCTGTCCTTCAGCGCATCAGCTCAAGGCTGGCGCTCTACCACTTGAGCCACAGCGCCACTTCCGGTTTTCTGACGGTTCATTGGAGAGAAGAGTCTCACAGACTTTCCTGCCTGGGGCTGGCTTTGAACCACGATCCTCAGATCCCAGCCTTCTGAGTAGCTAGGATGACAGGCGTGAGCCACCAGCACTGGGCTTTAGCATCCATTTTTAAACAGCATCTTGCTTCCAGGTGATAAGACTGATAGCCACAAATCTCTGGGCCAACTTTCCTCCTCCATTTGCCCTTCCTTTCATTCAATCTGTTGGCCACTCCTACAGTAGTTTTTGTTGTTGTTGTTGTTTTGTTACATCATTTCAACTCTTGCCTTAATGTAAAACCACCATTGAACCCTCAGTTCCACAAGACAGCCACATGGTGGCGGTAGAGCTCCAACTCACCTGAGGTTGAAGCCTGGGCTTTCCAGCTCCACATTTCTTATACACCTGAAGGGTTTCTTGTTCGTTTTGGCCACTCCTGGGGCTTGAACTCAGGGCCTGGGCACTGTCCCTGCATTTCTTTTACACAAGACTAGCACTTTACTACTTGACCCACAGTTCCCCTTCTGGCTTTTTTCTGTGATTAATTGGAATGAAACCGCATGGACTTTCCTTCCCAGTTTGTCTTTGAACCATGATCCTCAGATTTCAGCTTCCTGAGTAGATAGGATGACAGGTGTGAGCCCCCAGCGCCTGGCTTCTACATCACCTTTAGAATATCAATAAATAGCCCTAAGTTCAAATCCCAGTATGGGCATAAAAAAAATAAATAAAATTCCTTCCAAATAGCGTGACAATATCTTTGTTTTCAATCTCTGGCAAACTTATAGTTGGATAAACCATGGTCCTTAATTAGAACAGAGAACCATGAATCATGTCAGCTGATCTACGTGTTTTCAGGATGTGTTTATTCTGTAATGTGTCCTACGGGAGCCTGGCAGGAGATACACAAATACCAATAAAGATTAGTGGTCAGGCTGGGAAGGTAGCTCAGTGGTAGAATGCTTGCCTAGCATGCATGAAGCCCTGGGATCAATTTCTCAGTACCACATACACAGAAAAAGCCAGAAGTGGCACTGTGGCTCAAGTGATGAGTGCTAGCCTTGAGCAGAAGAAGCTCGGGACAGTGCCCAGGTCCTGAGTTCAAGTCCCACAACCAACATAGAAGAATTAAATTAAAAAATTTAAATGGTGGCTCTCAGACACCAGTGGCTTAGGACTGTAATTCTAGTGACTCAGGAGGCTGAGATCTGAGAATTGTGGTTCAACACCAGCTCATGTGGCAAAGTCTGGGAGACTATCTCCCATGAGCTAGCACAAAGCCAGAAGTAGAGCTGTGTTCAAGTAGTAGAGAGCTCTCCTGGAGCCAAAAAGCCTGGGGACAGTGTTTCAGGCCCTGAGTTCAAGCCCTAGGACTGGCACGAAAATCAAATACAGCAAGACAGAAATGGGGCTGTGGATAGTCAGAAACTTGGAGACCCCTGTAACCTGGAGTTGGGTATTGTGACGCCATGCTATCCCAACCCTTTCAGAAGTGGAACCTAGGGGCTGGGAAGGTGGCTCAGTGGTAGAGCGCTTGCCTTACGTGCCTGAGGCCCTGGGTTCTATTCCTCAGCACCACATAAGCAAAAAGAAAAAAAGCTGGAAGTGGCGCTGTGGCTCAAGCGGTAGAGCGCTAGCCTTGAGCAGAAGCAGCTCAGGGACAGCGCCCAGGCCCTGAGTTCAAGCCCCAGGACTGGCCAAAAACAAACCAAAATAGGGTGTCCACCAGGGGTAGGCTCCATGAAGAAGTGGGGGACCCTCCCCACCCCGCTTTCCTCAGTGCCACCCAGCACAAATCCTTTCATCCTAGGCCACACACAACAGATTCCACACAGTGTGTTATCTTTTAATGAAGAGCTGGGTCCATGGGCTACCCCCCCTTCTACCCAGAATCCCCTGCAACAGGCACCCCTCAACCCTGGCTCCCTGGGAGGCAGGGAATCGAGGGTGGGGGGGGGGAGGGCAAATTGCCTAGATAAGACATTATCTCCCTGACTTTGGACAGGACAGCAGGGTGCTAGATCGAGGACCAGGGGAGAAGCTGGGGAGGAAGGGCTCATTGCCTTCCTCTGATGGAACAAAAGTAAAAAAAACCAAACTAGTGCTCAGGAACAAATTCAGACTCCCCTTCCCCCCCACCCCCCCAATCCCCAGGGGTCTGGAGGCCCTTCCAGCCATTCTAGAACCCTCCCCCCTCCCAGCTCCTTTCAGCCTGATATCCCTCCAGGAAGTAGCCCTCAGGGCTATTCCTGCCCCGGCCCTGAACCCCACCGCCATGAGTTTTTAAAGCCCCCAGGTCTTGTCAGGTTGGGGAGAGGGGCAAAGCTACCCCACAGACACGCAGCCACCTTCCACTAACTCTGCTTTGTCAGTCACTACAGGCGTCTAAGAAGGTGGCGGTTTTTCTCTCTCTCGACGCTGAGGCCGCCCAGAGAGGCACGAGGCCCCGGCAGACCAGGGCGTTGTGTCCTGGGGTCGCTTTTTATAGGTCTGTGACCTTGTTTTCCACAGCTGCTGCAATCTGTTGGAGTCGGTAGCCCAGCTGCATCTTCTGGGCTGTACCATCTTCCTCCAGGGCCGTGATGATCTGAAACACAAGATGGAGACCATCAGGTTCTCATGGCAAACTGAAATGGGCCTGGGGGGGATGGGTTGGCACACACAGGGGGCGAAGGGAGCCCCTCACTTACCGATATTGTGATTTCAGGACTTTGAGAGCCACGACTGCTTTTCTTTTCTTTTTGGTCAGTGGTAGGACTTGAACTCAGGGCCTGGGCTCTATCCCCTGAGCTTTTTCAAGGCTAGCGCTCTACCACTTTGAGCCACAGCTCCACTCCCAAGTTTTTGGGTGTTTTCATTGGAGATAAAAGAGTCTCGTAGACTTTCCTGTCCCGGGCTGGCTTGGGACCATGATCCTCAGATCTCAGCCTCCTGAGTAGCTAGGATGTCAGGTGGGAGCCTCGGGTGCCTGGCCAGCCTACTTTGTGTTGGTGTATTTGTTCACTCTATCGCTCAGGCTAACTCAGAATCCTCCTAACTTCAGCCTCCCGAGGGCTGGGACTAAAGGCATATGCTATAGAGCATGAAGGATTGGTGAGGGTGGGGAGTGACATTGTTTATTCAAGTACCCAGCAGTATCTACCTCCCCTGTTCAAAGTTGTTCTGAAGTGGAGATGTTCCCCCCCCCATACACACACTAGGTTTCTCCCCACCATCCCCTCAACCTCATCGACAAGGCCCGGAGTCTACCTACCTGATCATAGTATTTGTTGATATACTTGTACAGTTCATGCAGGGCCACTCGTGCCCCGAGGTCTCCAGAGCAGTTCTAGGGAGAAAGATAATAGAGAGAGATGAGGGGTGCAGTCAGCCCTGGCAGGAGACCCAGGATCCTAGGGAATGGGGAGAAGAAGAGACGGGGAGGTTCCTTTTCAGAGGAGGCCTCACTGGGGAGTCAGAAGAATAGGTCTTGGGCCTCCATGACAGGAAGGGACCTGCGGGTCTGGGGCTCCACGAGGACCCTGCCTCTTAGCTTAATTCTCCCACACCCCCCCCCCCCCCCCCCCCATTCATCAGATAACCAAGCAGGACAGAGGTTGTTTGCTGTCTAGAGACCCAGTGTAACTCTGTTCTAACTCCAAGTATTTCCTCAGGTTGCTCATTCCCATGCCCTTCATCTCACTAGTGGAGCTCTTACAGGGACCCAATGAAAGCAAGCATTGTGTGAAGGACTCAGCACACAGCACCCTGTGAAGGACTCAGCACATAGGTATATCCCACAAGTAGAGTTAGGGTGCTTTCATTAGTATCATCATCATTTCAGAAACACTTCACAAAGGCCCCAAGTTCACATTTAGCTGTGGTTTGTTTTTTTTGGGGTGTGTGTATGTATGTGTGTGTGTGTGTGTGTGTGTGTGTGTGTGTGTGTGTGTGTGTGTGTGTGTGTGTACGGGGCCAGACATGGGGCTTGAACTCAAAGCTGGGGGTCACTGTCTCTGAGCTCTTTTGCTCAAGGCTAGAGCTCTACTACTTTGAGCCACAATTCCACTCCCATTTTCTGGTGGTTCCTTGGACATAGAGAGTCCCACAGACTTCCTGCCAGGGCTGGGTGTTGTTTTTGTTGGTTGTGGGGCTAGAACTCTGGGCCTGGCACTGTCCCTAAGCTCTTCAGCTCAAGGTGAGTGCGCTACCACGTTCCTGCCCGGGCTGGCTTTGAACCACGATCCTCAGATCTCAGCCTCCTGAGTAGCTAGGGCGACAGGTGTGAACCTCCAGCACGGATGTTGAGGGTATGGGGTCCTGCACCCACAAGCTCCTAGGGAAGCTGGGGTCCCACAGTGTAAAATGGGAGGGTGGATGGGGGAGACCATGATTGTTAAGGCAGGATGTCTGGGCCCAAACCAAAAGCAGAGGGACATCTTACCCGGGACAGCTCAGCCAGGACAGAGTTCATCTCTTGGTCACTGGCAGGGATGGTCTGTCTGATGTCTGCATAGTACCTGCCAGAAAGCCCAAGATGGCAGCTGCTGAGTAAAGTAAATGCATGGCCTTGGCCTCACCAGTACTCACCCCAGGCCCTACCTGGCCCCTCCTCCCCGGCCACGCCCACCTCCCAGGCCACACCCACAACTCAGGCCACGCCCCTCATCTCCTTAAGGCCACGCCCCTCCCCTGTACCTCTCCACCATCTGCTTGTATCTGGGAATATCCCGTGCGTAGAGAAGCTTGTTGATGGGGGAATCCTGAGGCCGGAGGGACAGCGGTGAAAGACGAAGACAGGGCCCCTGTTAGGATCATCAGCTCCCTCCCTGCGTTCCCCTGGACTGCTAGAGCTTTAAAACTGAACGTCAGCTGGGCCAGGCGCCGGTGGCTCACACCTGTCATCCTAGCTACTCAGGAGGCTGAGATCAGAGGATCACAGCTCAAAGCCAGGCCTGGGCAGGAAAGCTCCTGAGACTCTGATCCCTAATGAACCACCAGAAAACCAGCTCAAAGTGGTTTAGAGAGATAGAGAGCACTCGTCTTGAGTGAGGAAGCACAGGGACAGCACCCACGCCCCAAGTTCAAGCCCCACGACTGACCAAAACACACAAAAAAACTCAGGCCCCGATGGAAGCCTGACCTCTCCGCAGATGGAGGCATAGGAGGATCTTGGGGGTCCCTGGAACCCCTCCTTCTCCCACGTCCCCAACAGCCAATCGATAGTTGGTGCCCTGTCCCCCTGGAAGTCTGGAGAGAAAGCCTTTCCCCTAATCCACCTCCTTAAAATTCTCAGGAACATTCTAGAAGCTATGTGCATATACCAAGACCTCCCTATCCCCTTAACTACCCCATCCTTTCCAGTCCACTTACCCGGCCCAGCTTGTGATCAGCCAGGGTGCAAGCATCCATGAAGGTCTGGGCGATGACCAGGAGCACGGCGTCCATGTTATCTGACGTCTGTACATCGAACACGAACTGTGGGTTTTTGATGATATTGATCCAGAACCTCAGCGGTAAACTGTGGGTGAGGCAGACGTCGCCCATGAGCATGCTGGGAAGTCAGCAAGGTAAACCACCCCTCTCCCCCCCACATAATCATATGCCCCAAATTCCCCCCCCCCCCCCACTGCTTTGTTGCTCAAGGCTGGTACTCTACCACTTGAACCACAATGCCACTTGCAGCTTTTTCTGTGTATGTGGTACTGAGGAATCGAACCTGGGGCTGCGTGCGTGCTAGGCGAGCGCTCTACCACTAAGCCACGTGCCCAGCCCTTCATACCTGTTGGTTTTCCAGATGTGGATAGTGTCCTGGTCAGAGATGCCATGCTGGTGGGCCTGCTCGTCCAGCAGGTCGAAGAAATACTTGACCGCCAGAGGCACCGGGCGGCTGGTGCTGAGGATCACCTGGAATAGGTCATCCACGAACTTCTGCAGGGTGCCCTATGGGAAGACAGTGGGGAGTCGAGAGGGTATACTCAGCCAGGGGACCTCAGCCTCACCTGACCCCCACTTGTCCCAAAGCATAACACCCCCCCAAAAAAAAACCCTGAATAGTCATCTTCCTCCCTCATAGCCCAGACTCTTATTGGGTCCTGTCCCCCAATCCCAGGCCTTGTCCCCCAATCCCAGGCCTTGTCCCCCAATCCCAGGCCTTGTCCCCCAATCCCAGGCCTTGTCCCCCAATCCCAGGCCTTGTCCCCCAATCCCAGGCCCTGTCCCCCAATCCCAGGCCCTGTCCCCCAATCCCGGGCCCCATGCCCCAATCCCGGGCCCCGTGCCCCAATCCCGGGCCCCGTCCCCCAATCCCGGGCCCTGTCCCCCATCCCGGGCCCCGTCCCACCTTCATGGACAGTAGGCGGGTCAGGTAGATCTCAGGGATAGCCTTGGCTCGCTCCCGCTCTCCGCCCCGGAGGCTGCCTCTCCTGGGCCTGGGAGGTTCAGGTTCCTCAGTTGGCTTCACCAGGTGCCAGGGCCGGATGCCTCCCTCGTCCACATCTTCCAGCATTGGGGTCCCTGGGCCAAGACCATAGAGTTTGTCCACCCACCCCCACTGCAGATGCCACCGGCCCTGGGTGTCGCCGGCTCTACCACTCCAGGTCCTGCCAATGGGCCCCGAAGTAGAGGAACCAGAATAAGGTTCCTTTGGGGAAAAGGAAGATCGGTAGAAGTCTACCCTGAATCTAACCCTTCCCTTCCCCCTCTCCCCTTTTTTTTTTTTTTTTGGTTGGTCATGGGGCTTGAACTCAGGGCCTGGGCACTATCCCTGAGCTCTTTACTCAAGGCTAGTGCTCTACTACTTTGAGCCACAGCGCCACTTCCGGTTTCCTGATGCTTAATCGGAGCTAAGAGTCCTCACAGACTTTCCTGCCTGGGCAGGCTTCGAACTGCGATCCTCAGATCTCAGCCTCCTGAGTAGCTAGGATGACAGGCGGGAGCCCCTGGTGCCTGGCTGGATCCTTCCCTTATTATATAAGGGCTAGGTAAGCAAAGCCAGTGCAGAGGACCCAAATACTGGGGGGCGGGGGCGGGGGGGGAGGGGGAAGGAGGGGGGGAGGCACTCACTTTCTCCAGGGACGTAATCCTGGTTTTCTCGGAGGACATGCTTGGTGAGGCAGGGAACAAGTGCCACAGTCGCTCCATCTGGCACCTGTTGACCACAGCTGATGACCTCACTGCCAAGCCCCATCCCGCCCTTCACCCCTCCACAGCTTGGTCCTAGGACTCGAACTCAGGGCCCGGGCACTGTCCCTGAGCTTCTCTGTGCTCAAAGCCAGCGCTCTACCACTTGAGCCACAGCGCCACTTCCGGCTTGTTCTGTGGATGTGGTCTTGAGGCATCGAACCCAGGGCTTCCTGCAGGCTGGGCAAGCATTTTCCCTCCCCACCTTGTAATGCTGCAGGGTGTTGAGGCGTCTCCACAGACCCTGGACCTCAGAAGTGACATCCTCGTCAGACAGGATGAGATGGCCGGCCAAGCCCGATCGCCATTCTGCAAGAAAAAAAAAAAACCATACAGAAATGACCTGACCCAGAGTTTCCAGGATCTCCTTCCTATAATGGAGTCCATCTTGTCCTCCGTAAACACAGGTGCATGGTCCTGCCTAGAGAGAGAGAGCTGCCCCTCTTCTCCGAAGAACAGGAGAATCTCTCAGTAGGTGAGAGATTGCCTAATAAAGCCAACCTTGTGGTCTAACGTGTGTGACACTATAGGGCTTGAACTCAGGGCCTGGGCGCTGTCCCTGAGCTTCTTTGTGATCAAGGCTAGTGCTTTACCACTTGAGCCACAGTGCTACTTCTGGCTTTTTCTGAATAGATTATTGGAGATAAGAGTCTCAAGGACTTTTCTGTTTAGGCTGGCTTCCAACCCTGATCCTTCGATCTCAGCCTCCCAAGTAGCTAGGATAACAGGCGTGAGCCGCTGGCATCCAGCTGTGCCAATTTCTAGCATCTCACCTGGCCGGGGTGAAAAGCTGTCCCTGCAGGTCTAGTCTTGAACCAATCCAGGTCCCAACATTATCTCTGATTCCCCCCCCCAATTCCCCTGCTCCCTGCCCTTACCAACATCCAGGGTGCGAGGATCTGGGCGCTGGGCAAGAGGCAATCCTTTACAAAGCTGGTCCAGCATCTTCTCTTTGGCTTGCGAGATGGTGTCACAGTCTAGAACCTTCACCGGCACACACTGGGCCTCTCCTGCCCCAGGCCCCACAGCCAACAGCGCATTCAAGGTCTACGCAAAACACAAAGGAGTAGTCAAGATTCATGTCCTTTCAAGATGGCCAAGACACAGGACCAAGACTTCAGAATGCTTTAGACTTTAATTTTTTTTCAAACGTTTTGGTTTTTTGCCAGTCCTAGAGCTTAAATTCAGTGCCTGGACATTTGTTCCTGAGCTCCTTTTGCTCAAGGCTAGCACTCTACCACTTGAGCCACAGCGCCACTTCTGGCTTTTGGGCGAGTCACTGGAGATGAGTCTCATAGACTTTCCTGCCATGTTGGTTCTGAACTGCTATCCTCAGTTCTCAGGCTCCTGAGTAACTAGATTACAAGCGTGAGCCACAGGTACCTGGCTCATAGTCCCTCATTCTTAGCTCCTCATCTGTCTCCCTCTCCCTCTGTCCTCCACTAAGTTAGGACAGTCCGTGCCCAAGAGAAACCTGCATGAACCAGGGCCCCCCCACCCAACCAGACAGAAGTCCAGTTCAGTACAGCCTGGATAGGAACCTAAAGGAACCATCATGTTTAACAGGGACAGCACAGACAGGGAAATAATAAGTAGGTCTGCCAGGAAAGCTCCTGGTTTTGTGGGCCAGGTTACACCCATGTTAAGATGGCCAGAAAGACAGCCAAACCCAGTTGGGCACTGGTGGCTCACACCTGTCATCTTCCTCAGGAGGCTGAGATATTGGAAGGATTCTCTGTGAGACTCTTCTCTCCAAAGAAGCACCAGAAAACCAGAAGTGGTGCTGTAGCTCAAGTGATAGAGCCCTAGCTTTGAGCTGAAAAGCTCAGGGACACACCAGGCCCTGAGCTCAAGACACACACACACACACACACACACACACACACACACACACACACACACACACACACACACACACACACACACACACACACACATATCCAGACCCTGGCCACCAGCACAGGACTGTGGTCCATGACAGAACAAGATTCTTCCCAAGTCCCAGTTTGACCATCATGGTCCCGAATCTAAGTCTGTGGCTCTCAACACTACTCAGATCACCCCAAGACCTCCCACTGATCTAGCATTTTCTCAGTATCCAGGAAGCCAGGAGTTACATCCTCACCACAATGAATAAATGAATAAAATTAACTGGGAGAGTGAGAGGGGAGGGGTGACACTGTCCAAAAAGAAATGAACTTAGTGGTAAAAGAAATGGCTTAGTGGTAGAGTGCTTGCCTAGCATGCAGGATGTGCAGGATTTGATTCCTCAAGACCACATCCACAGAAAAAGCTGGAAGTGGCGCTGTGGCTAAAGTAGAGAGTGCTAGCCTTGAGCACAGAGAGGCTCAGGGACAGAGCACAGGCCCTGAGTTCAAGCCCAAGAACTGGGAGGAGGAGGAGGAGAAAAAGGAGGAGGAAGAAGAAGAAGAAATAGAAATGTTACCTGACTTATGTAACTATAACCCCTTTGTACATGACCTTTATAATAACAATTTAGCAACTTAGGCTAGGCTGCCAGTGTCTCACGCCAGTAATCCTAGCTACTCAGGAGGCTACGAGTTGAGGATTGAGGTTGGAAGACAGCCTGGGCAGGAAAGTATATAAAACTTTTTCTGTTTTTATTGTTGCTGTTTTTTTTTTTGTCAGTTATGGGCCTTGGACACTGTCCCTGAGTCTCTGTGCTCAAAGCTAGCACTCTGCCACTTGAGCCACGGCACCACTTCCAAACTTTTGAGTGGTTAATCGGAGCCAAGAGTCTCTTGGTGACTTTTCTCCCTGGGCTGGCTTTGAATCACAATCTTCAGATCTCAGCCTCCTGAGTAGTTAGGATGACAGGCCTGAGCCACCAATGCTAAGCTTGTAAAACTGCTATCTCTTAAAAAAACCAAACTACTTAGAAAAAGCCCGAAGTGTGCTACGGCTCGAAGCAAGAGAGTGCTAGCCTTGATCACAAAAACTCAGGGACACTGCCCAGTCCCTGAGTTCAAGCCCCATGACCAATCTAAATCAGTAAATCAATAAATTGGGCTGGGAAGGTAGCTCAGTGGTAGAGCGCTTGCCTGGCATGCATGAGGCCCTGGGTTCGATTCCTTGGTACCCCATACACAAGATATAAAATAAGATTTAAAAATAATAAAAAATTAAAAGAAAAAAACCCAAAACTCAAAACTAATAAATGCCTCTAGCCAGCAAGTAGTTAGAAAGTCACAATGGGGCTCCCTAGCTAGGTGTAGATACCAGAAGCTGGTACCCAAATAACAGACCTGTAACTGCAGACCACCCCCCCCCCCCAAACCCTCACCAGGGGCCGGTACTCCACGTCCTCTCGGAGCAGACGATTATCATTCAGGGTGTACTTGGCTTTGCCAGTCACACTGTCCACGGGTCCTTTGTCCACTTGATGCTTAATACCCCGGAAGAGCATATACAGCGGTTCCCCTACTGAGTCCTAGAAAGAGGGGTTACAGGGTAGTTTAGGGCACACCCCCCGCCTCCCTTCCTGGCAGATGGCAGGGGTGTATGGGACATGATGTAGACTGGACAGGGCCGGGACGCAGAACTACAGTGAACAGTCCAGGGAAGGCGTGGTCTCCGCTTTGATTTGAATAGGGAAGCAGTGGGCGGGGCTTGAGGCATAATGATCTCAAGGGCCCAGCCCTCCCCGCAAGCGGCTCCATTGGTCTCCCTCACCCTCACGAAGGTGTAGAGACAGATGGACATCCAGTTGGTGAGCAGCTTTTCCACCACCGTCTCTGTCCTGAAATGACAGGGCCAGCCAGGGTCAGCAGGATGGGAGGGGGGGATGACTACAGAATTCTCCTAAAGACCCTTGACCCCCTTCCCCCCTAGGCCCTGCCTCCAGCTGTCTACCACTGCCTCCCTCTCCCCCCCCAGCCCCTTCCACCAACCCTGGACGCTACACCAACCTGCGTAACATCAGCTTGGGGTTCTTGGCCACGTACTGGGTGACCAGATCACTGAGCAAAGTGCGGAGGATGTCGGTGAAGTATTCCAGCTTCCCGTGCAGGGAGACGGTGAGCAGAGAGGCCACGTAGGCACGGTCCCGAGCGGAGAAGGTGCGCTGACTCTCCAGTGTGTGGATGAACTGGGGGGTCGGAGGGGTGGGGTGGGAGAAGGGAGAGGGGAAAGGTTATGGGATGGGTGAAGTCAGAAAGCAAGAGGCGTAGAGCAAGCAGGGCCTGGCCAGGGCTGGGCCAGGAAAGGTCTGATTAGGGGTAGGATGGATGGATGGATGGATGGATGGATGGATGGATGGATGGATGGATGGGTGGATGGATGGATGGGTGGATGGGTGGAGGGATGGATGGATGGATGGGTGGATGGATGGATGGGTGGATGGGTGGAGGGGTGGATGGGTGGAGGGATGGACGGGTGGGTGGATGGAGGGATGGATGGATGGGTGGATGGATGGATGGATGGGTGGATGGATGGAGGGATGGGTGGATGGATGGAGGGATTGGGGGGAGAAGGAACCCAGTGGGTTCTGGGGATCCACCTTGGTGAGGAAAAGCTTGCTGTTGAGCAGGTTGGAGAGCTGCCCCAGGCCTTGTTCCACCGTGGGCCGCCTGCACTCTGGCACACCCAGGTCCCGGTGTAAGGGCGATTCCTGGTGCCCGGGGAAGAAGACACGTTCAGCGTACACCTTGTAGTCAAGGAATGGGATGCCACTGCCCAGCAGGTCACTGGTGAGATCCGTCATCTCGGTCATCAGGTCTGTGGAGCAGGCCAGGTCAGGTTGGGCCTCAGCCTCATCCAGTGGGCATGGCCTTGGAGCGGAGCCCTCCCAGTGGGCGTGGCCCTATGGAGTCCACCCAGTAGGTGTGGCCAGGGACAGAGCCTACCCAGTAGGCCTGGGCAGAGCTCATTCCAGTGGGCGTGGCTTCTGGCGAAGCCAGCCAATGGATGTGTCCTGGACAGCGCCTGCCTAGTAGGCCTGGGCAGAGCTCATTCTAGTGGGTGTGGCTTCTGGCAAAGCCACCCAATGGGCATGGCCCAATGGGCGTGTCCCGGACAGCGCCTTTCCCAGTAGGCAGGGCCATCCTGCAGAAGCTACCTGGCTCTCTAAAACCTCACCTGTGAACTCCTTCTTGCATCGATCCCGCACGCTGCTCTCCAGATTCTCCAACTGGATCTGAACCTTCTTATAGTCCCTCAGGGCCTGCTTGCTCTTCCGCCTGGCTCCAAATAACATGAAAGGTGAGGAGAAGGCTGGAGAAGGAGGCCCAAGCCCTTGCCCCCTCTGGCCTCCTTTGCCCAGGCCGGGCTAATCCAGCTCCAGGCAAATACTGACATCTAACATGAGTGTAACTTGACAATGGCCCCACAAAGATCATACCTGACCCCTCATTAATTCAGCCTGTCCCATGCCAGCCAGCTATAACCACGCATTCCTCTAGCCCAGCAGAGGTGGCGCGCAAACTACGACCGCAACCAATCTGGCCTCCAATCTATTTTACAACAGGGTAGACACCTGTTGGGGTTCACATTTATAATCCCATCTACTCAGGAGGCTTGAGACCTGTGGATCACAGTATAAAGGCAACCTAGGCAAGAAAGTCCATAAGACTCTTATCTCCAATTAGAGACCAAAAGGCAGAAGTGGAACCGTGGTAAAACACCAGCATTAAGCAATTAAAAAAAAGCAGCTCGGGCTGGGAAGGTGGCTCAGTGGTAGAGTGCTTGCCTAGCATGCATGAGGCCCTGGGTTCGATTCCTCTGCCCAGTGGTAGACTCTAGCAGTAAAATAGAAACTGCCTGGTCTACAAAGCCTCATTTGTTGGCTTTAGTGCTTTACAGAGCAAGCCGGTGGCTCATGCCTGTAATCCTAGCTACTCAGGAGGCTGAGATTTGCAGATCGTGGCTCAAAGCCAGCCTGAATAGGAAAGTCCCACTGAGACTCTTCAATAAACCACTCAAAGGGCTGGGAAGGTGGCTTAGTGGTAGACTGCTTGCTTAGCATGCATGAAGCCCTGGGTTCGATTCCTCAGTACCACATACACAGAAAAAGCCGGAAGCAGGGCTGTGGCTCAAGTAGTAGAGTGCTAGCCTTGAGCAAACAAAGGTCAGGGATAGTGCTCAGGCCCTGAATTCAAGCCCCAGGACCAGCAGGAAAAAAAAAAAAAGTTTCCTGATACCTGCTTACCCCACGCACCTACACCCTACAACGTCTCCCCAGCCCATCCCGGCCACGTCTGGCTGCACCCACCTGTACATGAGGACAATGATGACGACACCCAGAGCCAGGAGAGACGCGCCCACCCCCAAGCCCACCTGGGCGGCCACGGGAAAAGCCACGGGGCTCTCGCCATCGTACTGCACGTGACCCAGGGAGAAGCGCAGATTCCCCATCTGCACCTGGTGGGGGGGGGGGGAGCCAGCTGTGAGTCGGGGAGAGGGATCAGTCAACACATCCCGACGCCCAGCTCTGCTCCAGCCAGGCCCACAGACCGTGAACTCGGGCAGCTCATCAGGCGACTCCCTGAGGGCGTGGTGCCGGGGAAGAGGCTGCTGGGTTGGGGGCTCGCAGTAAAGGTGGTGTCGGGTCAGGGTCTTCACCACACAGGAGCCGTCTCCTATCATGGCCACTACCTCCTCCTTGGACATGGCCAGGTCCAGATTCTCCCCCTAGAAAATAAGAGTCCTTTGGGCTGGGAAGGTGGCTTCGTGGGAAAGAGCGCTTGCCCAGCAGGCACAAAGACCTACTCCACCCTTGTTCTACCATCCTGGCCTTTAAAAACCACATGCACGGTGCCTGTCCTCCCGAGGAAACGTCTTGGGGTCCCACAAAGCCCAAGTACCTCCACGGAGAACACACTGCCAGGTTTGTGCCGGAACGGTGTCGTGGGGTCCTCAGGGTTGAGGGGCTGCAGGGTGGGGTCAGCCTCATAGGAGAAAGGTGTGGGGCTCAGCGTAGCGAAGTCAAAGAGCAGGTTGTCGAAAATAAACTCCACCTGGACCCAGGGGTTCTCGGGCAGGCTGGGGAGGGCGGGTGTGCGGCACACAATGAGCTGGGAAGAGTTCACCAGGCATGGCTCCTCAAACTGGAGGAAGAGAACAGAGATCAATGGAGGGAATTGGTGGGGGAGGTGGCGGTGGCTGACGCCTGTCATCCTAGCTACTCAGGAGGCTGAGATAGGAGGATCGTGGTTCCAAAACCAGCCTGGGCAGGAAGGTCTGTGAAACTCTGTATTCTCCAATTAATCACAGAAAAAGCCAGAAGTGGGGCTAGGGCTCAAGTGGTAGAGTACTAGCCTTAAGCAAAAAACAGCTCAGGGACAGAGCCCAGGTCCTGATTTAAGGCCTAGGATAAGCATTAAACACACACACACACACACACACACACACACACACACACACACACACACACACACACACAGGAGGTAGATCAGGGATGGGAAGGTAGCTCAGTGGTAGAGCGCTTGCCTTGCATGCATAAGGCCCTGGATTCGATTTCTCAGCATCACATAAACAGAAAAAGCCAGAAGTGGCGCTGTGGCTCAAGTGGTAGAGTGCTAGCCTTGAGCTTAAGAGCTGAGGGACAGCGCCCAGGCCCCGAGTTCAAGTCCCACGATGCACCAAAAAAAAAAAAAGGTAGATCAACTGGGGCATGGAGGAGGGATGGGGGTTCCAGTCTCCTGTCTCCTACCTTATGACTGCAGAATGTTCCAGGGGAGCACTCCGCCTCTGGGACCACACGGCGCTTCCGTCCAAGCCCTTGGCCGGGCTGCAGCCCTCTTGGGGGGACCATAGTCACCCGGATTCTTGGCGTCTGTACGACATCCAGATTCTGGCCATGAACCCAGATCTTACGTCCTCCACTGAAATACGAGCCCCGGAACCACGTGTGATTTATGGGGATGCAGGATGCCCCCCCAGTCCCCTGCAAAGCTGAACCCCAGCCCCAAACCTCATGACCCCTTTACCCTATTGAGAAAAGGGATGCACTAGCCATCGCCCCCAAAAAATGCCCTACGACCCCTCCTCTCTGATAAAGGGCACTATGAAGACCCGCCCCACACAGCTGTTATATTTTCGCCCCCCCCCCCCCCCACTCACTGCTGTACCTGAGGAAGCTTTTGCTGGGGCCAGCGGAAGTGACGTTGGGGTCTGATGTGTACTTGAACTGGCCATGCTGAAGCTTCCGCTCCGTGGCCCCAAACCACACAGAGACGGGGAGCAGGGCAGGCGTGGGGTTTGGGGTGGTTTGGCACCGCAGCTGCTCTGCCTCTTGTTCGAGCAGCCTGGGAAGGGAAGAGCAGAGAGGAGAGCTGGCAGGATGGAGCAGAGTGCTGAACTCAGGACTCCACCCAGGGCTCTCTGCACGCTTCCCTCCCGGCCCCAGCTGTGGGAGGGTCTGGCTACTATTTTTTATTTTCGTGCCAGTCTTGGGACTTGAACTCAGGGCCTGGGCACACTGTCCCTGAGCTTCTTTTTTGCTCAAGGCTAGCACTCTACCCCTTGAGCCACAGCAGCGCCACTTCTGGCTTTTTTCTGTTATGTGGTACTGAGGAATCGAACCCAGGGCTTTGTGTGCATGCTAGGCAAGCGCTCTACCCACTGAGCCACCCTCCCAGCCCTTGGCCACTTTTCTCATGGGGCAGATGTGGGCCTCTCCCCATTCCCCCTCTCCCTCCAGCCCGTCCCTGGGTGCACAGCTGTTTGGAAGCGGGCCTCACAAATGACAAGACTGCTCTCCAATCACCACGCGGATGTCCTCCAGCCGACCAGACAGAAGGTTAGACCCATGCAGGGTGAGGCGGGTGCCCCCGGCTTTGGGGCCGCGGACCGGGAAGATGGACTGCACCTTTGGGTCCTAAGGAAGGAAAGCAGGCCAGGGAGAGGTAAGCATTAGGCTAGAAACACAGAGGCCAGCGGGAAAGACAAGATGGCCCTAGAGTGCCCAGCATTAGAGAGGCCAAGAGAGGTAATCACACCGGCCTATAGATGGTGGCTCGATAGTTACGTACCTGGTAGGCAAAGTTGAGCTCTGAGACACCCCGGCCTCTTCCTGACACCTCCACGGTCACAGTACCCGCTACCTCTTCTCCACTGGCTCCAGTGATACACACAAGACTGTGGGCACAGGGCGCACAGATAAATGGGATGCTAGGCTTGGGGCTTGAACTCAGGGCCTGGGCGCTATCCCTCAGCTCTTCAACTCAAAGCTAGCGCTCTACCACTTGAGCCACAGCATCACTTCCAGTTTTCTGGTGGTTCATTGGACATAAGAGTCTCAGGGACTTGGCTGTCCAGGCTGGTTTTGAACCGTGATCCTCAGATCTCAGCCTCCTGAGTAGCTAGGATGACAGGCGTGAGCCACCCGCACCCAGCTAGGATGATTTTTAATTAGTTTTTTTTTTTTTTTTGGTGCCGGTTAGGACTTGAACTCAGGGCCTGGGTGCTGTCCCTGAGCTTTCTTGCTCTAGGTTAGTGCTCTAACACTTTGAGCCATAGCTCCACTATTGGCTTTTTGGTAGTTCTTTGGAGATGAGTGTCTCATGGACTTTCCTGCCCAGGCTGGCTTTGAACTATGATTCTCAAATCTCAGCCCCCTGAATAGCTAGGATTATAGATGTGAGCTACCAGTGCCCAGCCTCAGGATCCTCTATAGCACTGAAACTGAAAACTATTACAACACACTAGCAGGGCTTTAGCATCTAAGAATTAATATCCCTGGCTGTTTTTTATTTTTGGTTCTTATGGGGCCTGAACTCTGGGCTTAAGCACTGTCCCTCAGCTCTTCAGCTCAAGGCTAGTGCTCTACCACTTGAGCCACAGTGCCACTTCCGGTTTTCTGGTGGTTCACTGGAGATAAGAGTCTCACGGTTGTTCCTACCCGGGCTGGCTTTGTACCATGATCCTCACATCTTAGCCTCCTGAATAGCTAAGATTATAGGTGTGAGCCACCAACACCCTACTTTTTTTTTTTTTTTTTTTTTAACAATTTGAATGCAATTCTAGAATCCCCAATAATCAATCAGTGTCTGCTGGTGGTGGCTCATGCCTGTAATCCTAGCGACTCAGGAAGCCGAGACCTAGAGGATGGAAGCTTGAAGCCAAGCTGGGCAGAGAAGTCTAAAAGATTCTTATTTCCAATTAACCAACATAGGGCTTGGAAGGTGGCTAAGTGGTAGAGTGCTTGCCTTGCATGCATGAGGCCCTGGGTTCGATTCCTCAGCACCACATAAGAACGAGCATAAGGTTCAAGCTCCAATACCTGCACCTTCCCACCACACAAAAAAAATTAAACAATTATTGCTGTTTTAGCAATAAGGCTGATGGCTTATGCCTACAATCTTAGATACTTAAGAGGCTGAAAAGCCAGGCGCTGGTGGCTTACACCTGTCATCCTAGCTACTCAGGAGGGTGAGATCTGAGGATCACAGTTCAAAGCCAGCCCAGCAGGAAAGTGCAAGAGACTCTTATCTCCAATGAACCACCAGAAAACCGCAAGTGGCATTGTGGCTCAAGTGGTAGAGCGCTCGCTTTGAGCTAAAGAGCTCAGGGACAGTGCCCAGGCCCAGAGTTCAAGTCCCACAACTGACACACACACACACACACACAAAGAAGAGGTTGAAAACAGGACCAAGGCAAGGCTTGACACCAGCTTAGCCAGACACACTGGAGAGATTCTTATCCCCAATTAACCAGCAAAAAGCCAGAAGCAGAGGCATAACCCAAGTGGTAAGAGCCCCATCTGTGAATGAAAATGCCAAGAGAAAGTGAGGCTCATGCCCCAGAACCATCACACACACACACACACACACAGCAAAAAGAAAAGAAAAGGAATTTACTGCTGTCATAGCATATTGTTACAAAGGAGCCCTGTAAGGCTGGCTGGTGGGGGTGGTGGAGGGGGCTGTGGTGGCTGAGTTTTGCTAACTGCTCCAGTCTACCACCGTCACCACATGCAAAGCACCCACTGACAAAGTGGTAGAAATCTGATCTCTTTTTGGAACAACATCCCTGAAAGCCTCTAGTCAAATCTGACGGGTAGATGTGAACAGTCTTTAAAAAAAAAAAATTAATAAATAACTGCTGGTTTGTAGCCAGAAAATAAAAAGCTTGGGGCAAATGAACAGCCACAATGTCAGCCGTGCAGTGGCTTAACTCTGTGACACTCCAGGGAAAATAGAACAAGCCAAGTGTGAACTACTAGGGAGGGGGGGGAGGGGAAGGAGGGGGAAGGGACTGGGGAGGGGGGGAGGCTCTGGCCAGTCTAGCCAGGATATATTTTTAATTGTTTCATAAATCACTTTATACACGGCACGATGTAAGTCTTAACGTTCCGGGATCGTTAATAATCGAGATAAGTCTCCATAAATACTCCGTCAAAAATATTTTGGAAGGGAAACTGCATGCTCTCGGCAAGTGCTTTGAAACACAGACTGTCGAGCCAGCCAAGTGCTGGTGGGCTCACGCGCGTGGCATCCTAGCTACCGAGGAGGCTGAGATCTGAGGGTCGGGGTTCAAAGCTAGCCCAGGGCAAGAAAGTCCAGGAGACTCTTAATGCCGGAACCACCAGGAAAACCAGAAGTGATGCTGGGGCTCAAACACCAACACCAACACCAAAAATCCAAGCAGAGCCTAATCAACAGGCTTGACACGCTGGTTCCCAGGCCAGGAACATGCAGCTAGACATAGGAAGACCATGTAATCGTTCTGGGCATTCTGAGTCCCTGAAGAGGAGGTGAGCCAATCACAGAGCCGTTCTCATGTTAGTAATTAGCTGGCTTACCTGCTGGACACCTCATACCCCTGGACATCCACAGAACAGGGCACTCCGGCCACCCAGACCCTGTCCAGCACATCCTGTACATGTTGGCCCAGATTGGAACCTCTGATGGTGACACGAGTACCCCCCTCGATAGGCCCAGTCAGTGGGTTCACCTGTTCCAAGACAAAGACTGTGCCTCACCTACCAACATCTGGCAGACAGCTAACCCCTGGCCTCCCACCTCTGGTCTTCCCGAATCCATGGCTTCTGTCCCTCCCCCTCCAGCCCTCCCCTCCCCCCTCTTCCCTCTCTCCAAGCATAGCAACGAGGAAGACATGCCAGCATTCCAACATACCGAGTGGATGAGGGGCGCGGGACACTGGGTGGCCACAGCCTCGGCATTGTTACAGGCCTCCTTGGCCACGCAACGTGGATGGTCCCCTTCACACCACACACAGCCATACTGGGGCATAGCAGTCTGGCAGCGGCTGCAGTCCCCGTGGCCGACCGAACAGTCGTACAAGATCACTGGAACCCGGCAGGAACAAATGTTGAGCAGTAGACAGGAGAAACCCCACTCCCCTTCCACCAACCCGATCCACCTTCCCGCCGCAGGCTTCCCGGTAGCTTTCGCTCACCATGCAGACCCTCTGCACTGTCTACCCGCAGACGGCCGGCCCAACGCAGAAACAGCCCCACCTGGAGCTCCGGCTGCACAGCCTTATAGTTGAGCTGGAGAAACAAACACAGTAAGGGGGCTGGGAATGTGGCTTCGTGGTAGAGTGCTTACCTAGCATGCACGAAGTCCTGGGTTCAAGTCCTCAGTACTACAGACACAGGAAAAGCCAGAAGTGGTGCTGTGGCTCAAATGGTAGAGAGAGCTAGCCTTGAGCCCAAGAAACTGAGGGACAGGGAGTTCCAAGCCCCAGGACCAACACAAATAAACTAAAATGGAAAGGGATGAACTATAAGAGCACAGTGTCAAAGGTCAAAGTTGGGGTATAAGGGCATCCACCTATAGCTCAATTTTTTTTTTCTCAGTCTGAGACTGGAACTCGAACTCAGTACTTGGTGGCTGCTTTCTCTCTACTAAGCTTACGCCTCCAACCCGGAGAGATCTCAAGAGGTCTGGACTGGCATGCAAAGACCTCATAGGGCCCACGGGTGAGGGGCAGGGTAGACAAATGTGACAGGATCCAGCGGTGTTACAGACACCCTAGGCCCCACCACGCTCTTGAATTTGCACCTGATGCTGCTGGCACGTGATGTGACACACGGTATGCGGAAGCGGCTCACACTGGACTCGTGCTTCTACTGCTACCGTGAGGCCCTCCAGTTCCATTACACACTCACTACTACCTCCTGGGCTACCCTGGAGGACAGAACACATGGACACAGGGATAGCTTCAGGACCTGGATCTTAGGTGTTACACAGATTTTCCAGCTGAAGACCTGGGCCCCGGGGGCTGGAGATGTGGCTTAGTGGTGCAGTGCTTGCCTAGCAATGCATGAAGCCGAAGTGGCACTGTGGCTCAAGTGGTAGAGCGCTAGCCTTGAGCAAAAGAAGCTCAGGACTGGGCATGGGTGGCTCACGCCTGTCATCCTAGCTACTCAGGAGGCTGAGATCGGAGGATTGTGGTTCAAGGCCAGCTCGGGCAGGAAAGTCCAAACTCCACGAGAGTCTTGTCTCCAATCAACCACTCAGAAAACCAGAAGTGGCTGGGTGGCTCAAGTGGTAGAGCGCTCGCCTTGTGCTGAAGAGCTGAGGGACAGCGCCCAGGTCTGGAGTTCAAGCCCCAGGACTGGCAAAAAAAAAAAAATCAAAGACACACACACACACCTGGAGGAGATGCAGGTTCCGGCCCTCCAGCTGGATTTCGCGTTCCACAGACACGGGCATGAGCACAGAGCCATGGACACGCTCCACGCACGGACACGAGCTCACCCTCTCATTTGCCTCTTCCTGCAGGCATCCAGAGCAAGACAGTGTGTAGAACCCGCCCGATCCGGCTCAGTCCTCCACCTTGGTTGGATTTCAGAGTCCAAGGGGGGTGGACTCTGCCCGCCCCACCCCCTCTTCCCTTCCCCCCTTCCCTCCCCACCCCTGCAATGCAAGCTGGGCAAAGGACTCCATCGTCTCTCTCCCATCGCCCTTCCCGAGGCCTCTCCTTCCTGGGCTGGACCTCACCAGCTCCCAGAGCCCGGGGGTGTCGTACTGGTAGCCGAGGCTGGACAGGAGGATGAGGGGGGCGGGAGGGTCCTCGTGCTCTGTGGAGTCTCCGTCACCTGAGAGGAGGGTGGAAGTGGAGAAGGCGGGAGGGTCACCCCCCGTCCACTCGTCCGCGTTGGCCGCTGCGTCGCCTCCTCTCATGAGCGGATCCGGCACGGCCTTGGTGGAGCCAGCGGCCCCTGGGAAAATGGTGGCGGGAGCGGTGGCAGGGGGCAGGTCCAGGGCCACTGTGGGGGGCACGGGCTGTGCGAGGGGCACTGTCGCTGCATCTGGGGGTAACGGGAGGGAGGCCGAGAGGTCCTCAGGTTTGGCCCTAACTCCCAGGCCGGTGGGGGCAGGGAGGAGGACAGATCCGGGTTGGGTAGTAGGGAGGCCGGAAGGGAGGGGAGGAAGGCCGGAAGGGAGGGACTTCTGGGTGGCAGTGGGAGACAAGGGAGGGCCTGGACCTGCCCACGGTCCCCAGAGGCTAAGCAAGGAAGGCTGGGCCGCAGGTAGGGCATCCGAAGCCGTTGCTATGGAAGGAGCCCCCGGCTCCCCAGATCGGGTATCAGGATTAGGGGTGACTGTGGCTTTGGGGGCTACAGATGGCAAAGGGGTGGGGGTATCTCTTGCAGGGAGGGTCAGGGGGAGAAGCGGGCTCTGCAGGGGTGGGGGAGGAGGAGGGCGCAGAGAAAGACAGGAAGGGCCACTCAGCAGGCAGGCATGGGCATCAAGATGCAGCCAGGCAGGCAGGCAGGCAGGCAGGCAGGCAGGCAGGCAGGCAGGCAGGCAAAGGGGATGTTAAGAGGAAAAGAACCAAGGAAAAGAAAAACAAAAAACAGCCCGTTAATTTTCCAAAGGACAAAACGCGGGAAAAGGTAGGGGTAGGGGCTTCCAGGGGTGTCTGTGCTGAGGGGGTGGGGGGTAGGGGGAAGGGCGGGGGTCTGTGGAGGCCTACAATCTCCCAAGCTCTCAGCCCTGACCACGATCTCCCAATACAAGTGGCACACACCGTGGCTTTCGCCACTCAGGACGTGGCCTCGTGCGGACAAAGCAGAGACACAGAGACACCCCCCCCAACCACGGCCATCAGAAAACACTTGGGGACCCACCCACAACCCCAAACCATCCCATGGGGCCCGTTGTAGAGACACACTCACCTGCTGGCTCACAACCATGGGTCCAGCATCACAAGAGGCCTTGTGGGTACATCGGTGTTGCCAAACACACCAATTACAACCCCAGTGGCTGCTCACGCAGGCCTGGCACCTGAACAGAACACAATCATGGTGTGTGTGTGTGTGTGTGTGTGTGTGTGCGTGTGCGTGTGCGTGTGTGCTGGGAGGTCACCATATGCTGGGCCCAAGAGGCTGGGGACAGGGTAAGGCTGGGGACAGGGTAAACTACTCACGGTGCAGATGGATGGAAGTCTGTGATGGCCACACAATCATAGAAGGAGAGAGATGCTTTGGCGATCATCACATTGCCAAACCGGAGTTCCACATCCACAGAGACGTGGTCTGCAAAGTGGAAGAGAAGAGCGTGGACTGATGAGACTCAGACCTAGAGACCACACAGGCTGAGATCACGTGAGGTTGGGGAAAGCAGACCCTGGGTACAAAAGAATCAAGTTCCCCAGACACAGAATTGAACACATTAGGACTCCCAAGAAAATCATCCGTGGTAGCCAGGGTGCTGGTGGCTCACGCCTGTCATCCTAGCTCCTCAGGAGGCTGAGATCTGAAGATTGTGGTTCAAAGCCAGCCCGGGCAGGAAAGTCTGTGCGACCCTTACCTCCACAACTGGAAGTGGAGCTATAGCTCAAAGTGGTAGAGTGCTAGCCCTGAACCAAAAACGCTCAGAGACAGCGCCAAGGCCATGAGTTCAAACCCCACGACTGACATAAATAGATGAATGAATGAATAGAAGCCATCAATCGTGAGCTTAACGTCTCGCCCCAACCACAGCCCTAGGAGCAAGACAGGAACACAGTGAGGGAATCCCATGTTCGAGACCAGCGCCGTCTCTCACCCACCGGCTCCTCTGGGCAGCACCGGAGTATTACTAGGATCTGGGGAAGGACACATCACGCCGGAACCGGTCAGCAGGGCAGGACTCTGATGATCCCCAAAATGGCAGGAATATGACTCCCCGGGCCACAGAGGTGGCAGATCTGGGATTGACAGGAAAACCTGCCAAGAAAACCAAAGAGAGGGCTGGGAAGGTGGCTTAGTGGTAGAGTGCTTGCCTAGCATGCATGAAGCCCTGGGTTTGATTCCTCCATACCACATAAGCAGAAAAAGCCAGAAGTGGCTCAAGTGGTAGAGCGCTAGCTTTGAGCAAAAGAAGCTCTGGGACAGTGCCCAGGCCCTGAGTTCAAGCCCCAGGCCTGGCACAAAAAAAGAAAAGAAAATCCAAGAGACACTGGAAGTTTAAGGCCAGGATTTTCACGTTTAGGACCCAAATGTGGACAGCAATCAGCAGCCCGCAGCCCTCAAAGCATTCACCAAGACCCTCTCTGACCCAGATAAGAACAAGTAGAGAAATCTAGGCCCCTAGACAAATGACCTGTCCAGGCACTGGTGGCTCGTGCTGGTCACCCTAGCTACTCTGGGAGGCTGAGATCTGAGGATCAAAATTCAAAGCCAGCCCAGGCAGGACAAGTCTGTGAGACTCTGATCTCCAATGAACCACCAGAAAACCAGAAGTGGCGCTGTGGCTCAAGTGGTAGAGTGCTAGCCTTAAGCACAAGAACTCAAGGGACAATGCCCAGGCGCTGAGTTCAAGGTCAAGTGAAAAATAAGAGTGTCCAGGCAAGGCTATGTAATATTGAGTGCATTTGACCCCCAAATCCAAGGCCTCCACCCATCCTCAGAGACCTCCCCACTGGGGCCCCACTGAAGACTGGTCATTTACCTCCCTCCTCTCCTCTCGGCTGATGTTGGCAGGACTGAGAGCATCTACTCGCAGACAGCCCAGCTCAGGCTGGAAGCTCCAAAGCCACTGCTCTGGGCCCTGGCCCCTGGAACATTCAGAATGGCGAGTGCACCTGAGAAAAGACCAGCGTCCACCTATGACCCTCATGGCTAGCATAGGGCAAAGACAGACAAGGAGGGGCAGACACCAAGCTCCTATGTCTCACCAAGGGCACCGATGCCAGGAGGGAGGAAAAAGGCAGGGGAATGGAACAACTAGAGGATGGGATTGAGAGCAAGGGTTAAGATGACAATTTCTGGACAAGTCACACACCGGTGACTCACACCTGTAATCTCAGCTAGCTACTCGTGAAGCGGAGACCTGGAAGATTCCACAGTCTATCCATGTCTATAGCCCATAAAATATATACAATCTAGCAATCGAAAAGAAATCTAGGCCAGGCGCTGGTGGCTCACGCCTGTCATCCTAGCTACGCTCACTAGGCTGAGATCTGAGGATCACGGGTTCGAGGTCAGCCCAGGCAGGAAAGTCTGTGAGACTCTTAGCTCCAATAAACTACGCAGAAAAAAAGCTGGAAGTAGGGCTGTGGCTCAAGTGGTAGGGTGCTAGCCTTGAGCAGAAAGAAGCTCAGAGATAGCTCTCAGGCCGAGTTGAAGCCTCAGGACTGGCAAAGAAAAAGATTGTTCATTCATCTGGTTTGGGGAGGGAAAAAGGGGGACAGGAATGGAGGAACAAAGCATGAACAAATGCAGCAGTGGAACTCACTAGACACGACATTGAAAATGAACTATATAACTTGTAGGCAGGGATGAGAGGGGGAAAAAAATAAAAGCTGGGAGAGAGGCTCACGCCTGAAATCCTAGCTACTCAGGAAGCTGAGATCTGAGGATCACGGTTCAAAGCCAGCCCAGGCAAGAAAGCCTGGGGGACTATTATCCCCACATAACTACCAGAAAACCCAAAGTGGCACTGTGGCTCAAAGTGGTAGAGCACTAGCTTTGAGCGAAGCTCAGAGCCCAGAGCCCAGGCCCTGAGGTCAAGCTCCAAGACAGGCAAAAACAACCACAACAACACACACACACACACACACACACACACACACACACACACACACACACAGGAAAAAGACAAAGAAAAAAGTCTGAGACACCCCATCTGGCAAAATGCTGGACTGGTGGCATGGTTCAAGTGGTAGAGCACCAGCTGTGAGCAAGAAAGCCCAGCAAGTGCCTGAAGCCCTCAGTTCAGGTCTGTGTCAAGGGCATGCATGTGTGCACAACACATGCACACACCTTCCCACACTCCCAGACACAAACCAACAGAAGAATCCTGGACAGGACAGTTATAAGAACTTGAGGCAGGGTGAGGAGTTGGGGGAGCACTGTGCTGACCTTCCCAGGAGCACACACCACCCACAATAGGGATCCTTGTGGGCAAGGCAAGCGGCACAGTTTAGGTGCTGGGTGCAAGGGGCCACAGGAACCTTCACCACCTGTGACAACAAAGAAGACCCAAGATTGGCAAATGCACCCACCAATAGCCAATCCACATCTGAGTTGGCCCCTCCCAGCAGCAGCCATGCCCTGGACCAATCCCGGCTCTTACTGTAGTTTGGGTCATGACATACAGGTTCTCGAAGGTCCCATCAAAGGTAAGATCTCTGTTCACCGCAGACCCAGGCTGGATGCTCTCTTTAGAGTAAAGGTTGACATTGTTCCCAGGGCCCAAGTAGACCTGAGATCAGAGGCCACGAGATCAGCCACCAAATCTGTCACCAGATACCCACAGCTATTTGCAACTCAAACGACCTCGCTACAGACCGGAAATGTCCTCCCAGGCAGAGTTGGGTGACTGCACCCATCCTTCTCGCACAAACCCTGGGAAGAAGGGTAGGAAGGGAGAGAGGACTCACCCTGTGCAGTTGCCCCTGAGTGTCACCCAGAAAAGCGATGGCATGTCCGTTTTCCATGGTGACTGCTACAGCTGTTAGCTGAACCCCTGGCAATTCTAGAATTGGCGTGGCTTCCAACGGGATCAGGCTAGCCATGGGGCTGGGTGTATGGTCTGAGCCACAGGGAAAAGCATCTGGTGTGTCCTACAGGAAGCCAGAAGTATCAGTAAGACTGGCTGGACAGCCCAGAGCTGGAAGCTCCTAGCTACTTCAGGAGGCTGAGATCTGAGGATCATGGTTCAAAGCCAACCTGGGTAAGAAAGTCCATGAGACTCGATGAACCACTAGGAAATTGGAAGTGGCGCTGTGGCATCCCACTTCCGGTTTCCTGGCGGTTCCTTGGAGATCAGAGTCTCAAGGACTTTCCTGCCACAGCTGGCTTTGAACTGTGATCCTCAGATCTCAGCCTCCTGAGTGGCTGGGATGACAGGCGTGAGCCACACATCATCTGGCTCCTTCTCATTGGATCTTCACCTTTGCCTGTAGCTCCACCTTCTCCCATCCCCAGCCTTGATGCTACTCTTTCCCTTGTTGCTATGTTCTCTGTTCACTCCACTTCCTAAACTTCACACCTCCCATCCTATTTACCTAGCACTCAGATCTCATGCTCCAACCATATATCAAAACCCCTCATTCCTATCTTGCTCCAGAACCTAGATCAAGAGGTCTGACCCAAAATTCTACCCCTATCTTAGAACTCTAGGCCAGGGGTAGGCGGTTCACGCCTGTCATCCCAGCTACTCAGGAGGCTGAGATCTGAGGATCACAGTTCAAAGCCAGCTGGGGCAGGAAGGTCCTTGAGACTCTGGTCTCTAATGAACCTCGACAAGGCCAAAAGTGGAGTGGCACAAGTGGTAAAGCACCAGCCTTGAATGGAAAAAAGCTAAGAGTTAGGACCCACGCCCTGAATTTAAGTCCCAGTACCAGCATAAACTAAAACAAAATGAAAACAAACATAAAAACAAAACCAAATGGGCTGGGAAGGTGGCTCAGTGGTAGAGCACTTGTCTTGCATGCCTGAGGCCCTGGGTTCGATTCCTCAGCACCACATAAGCAAAAAGAAAAAAAAAAGCCAGAAGTGGCGCTGTGGCTCAAGTGGTAGAGCGCTAGCCTTGAGCTGAAGAGCTGAGGGACAGCGCCCAGGTCCAGAGTTCAGGCCCCACGACTGGACCCCCCCAAAAAAAACCAAAACAAAACCAAATACCTTCTAACCCCATCCCCATTGAACTCAGGGCCTAGGCACTGTTCCGGAGCTTCTCTGGCTCAAGGCTAGCGCTCTACCCCTTGGGCCACAGGGCCACTTGCAGCTTTTTCTGTGCATGTGGTACCGAGGAATCGAACCCAGGGCTTCATGCATGCTAGGCGAGCACTCTACCACTGAGCCACCATCCCAGCCCAGTACTGCTTCTATATCACCCTGTTCAGGCCCATGCCAGCATTGCTTCCCATCACCTTACCACACAGTAGTAACATAGCCCTCCATCGCCCAGCCCTAAAGAAAGCACCTGCTTCCAGGAGCTTGTGGCCCCCACCTGCAATCTAAGCTATTCAGGAGGCTGAGAGCTGAGGATCGTGGTTAGAAGCCAGCCTGGGTAGGAAAGTCCATGAGACTTTTTTTTTTTTTTGGTCGGTCATGGGGCTTGAACTCTGGGCCTGGGCGCTGTCCCTCAGCTCTTCAGCTCAAGGCGAGCGCTCTACCACTTGAGCTACAGCGCCACTTCCGGTTTTCTGGTGGTTTATTGGAGATAGGAGTCTCACGGTCTCTCCTGCCCGGGCTGGCTTTGAACCGCGATCCTCAGATCTCAGCCTCCTGAGTAGCTAGGATTACAGGCATGAGCCACCAGTGCCCGGCTTCCATGAGACTTTTTATCTCCAATAAACTACTCTGAAAAAGCCAGAAGCGGCGCTGTGGCTCAAATAGGAGAGTTAGTAGAGTGCTAACTCAGGGGTAACACCCAGGCCTTGAGTTCAAGCCCTAGGACACGTACATACACACACATTAGAAGCAAACACTTGCTGTCTATTGACCCGATCAGCCTTGCTCCACCCCAACTTGGCTTACAAAATGCCCAGCTGGCTGACCTCAACGGGCAAAGGCCAGGCCCCTGCCTGAACTCACCACTGGCAGCTGCGCGCAGTCGGAAATGACGTCGTAGGCAATGTAGGCCACTTTGGTCCCGTTCTCAGCCCGGCCTTCTCGCATATAACAGGCATCACGGGTGTCGTTGGCCAGGCGGTCGACTTCATCCAGGGGGGAGGTACAGAGCACAGATGTGTGCGGGGCCCTGGGAGCTTCGGGCAGGGGCCAGTCCACAGTCGGGGGAGCCACGGAGGAGAAAGCCGCGAACAGCACATCCCCGGAGGTGGCCAGGGCGGCGGCCTGGATCAGACCATAGCGGCCACCCTGGCAATCCAAGGGCAACTCCACGTAGGAGTAATAGTGCTGGTCACAGAGACACATGCGTGACACGTAGGCCCGGAAGGCCCTCGATGGGGTCTTGAGATCGCGTCGCAGGAACAGGAAGTAGGCGCTGGCCCCACGCGTGAAGGCGCTCACGAAGTGGTGGCTGTACTCCGAGAGGCGGCCCACGGCGAGCTTGGCTGTCTCTTCATAGGAGAAGGCAGACTGGGGGTCCGGGGGTCGCAGGGTGCGGGTTGTGATGGGTGGAATGCCACCCCCGACACCCCTGCTGGTATAACCCCGCCCCACAAATAGAAGAGGCTCCCCTGCTGAATTCTGGGCCACCACACCCACAGTGGTGACCTCGGGATCGTTGGCAGCTACGTATTGTGTATCTCCAGGCCGGTCCAACCTCAGGAGCTGCTGAAGCTGCCCCAAAGTCCGCAGTTCACAAACCCCCTGGTGGACGCTCCCACAGACCACCAGAGCTCCTGGGCTCACCAGGAGCAGCTGGTTGGGGTTGTTGGTTGGCTGGGCCTGGGGACACTCATCTGGCAAGACAGGTGGCAGGCAATCCCGGCTGTCATCCACAGGACCCGTGGCCACCATGGCTTCCAGCTGCAACCCAGGGCTCAGCGCGAACAGGAAGTTGGTGCCCCCCACATAGAGGGTACCTGAAGCGGGGTCCCTGGCCAGATGTTGCAGCTGTGTGCCATTGGGAGTAAAAGCAGCTGGTGGAGGGAGGTGGAGGGTAAGGACGTACCCAGCCCAGAGCACTTGAAGAAGAGCTGGGCCAAGGGTAGGCATGATCACCTGAAAGACAGACAGACAGACGGACAGAGGGGTCCAGTGAGGCTCCTGACCATCATTGTAAAGGACCGGACTATGGCATGCCAAGATGCCCACAGACTTAGCTGAGCAAAGAAAGGGGAAGGAGGTGGCTCACGCCTGTCATCCTAGCTACTCAGGAGGCTGAGATCTGAGGATCGAGGTTCGAAGCCAGCCCAGGCAGGAAAGTCTGTGAGACTCTTCTCTCCAATGAACCACCACAAAACTGGAAGTGGAGCTGTGGCTCAAATAGGAGAGTGCCAGGCTTGAGCAGAAAAGCTCAGGGACAGCGCCTAGGCTGTGAGCTCAAGCCTCAGGACTGGCACAAAGAAAAGCAAAAAAGGGAGGAAGAAAGGGAGAAAGGGAGCAAGAAGGAAAGAAAGAAAGAAAGGAAGAAAGAAAGAAAGGAAGAGAGCGAAAGAGAGAGAGGGAGGGAGAGAGAGGGAGGAAGGAAGGAAGGAAGGAAGGAAGGAAGGAAGGAAGGAAGGAAAGAAGGAGGGATCTGGGTGGCTCATACTTATAATCCTAGCTACTCAGGAGGCTGAGATCTAAGGATTGTGATTAGAAGCCAGCCCAGGCAGGCAAGTTCTTATCTCCAAATAACCAGCAAACTGGAAGTGGAGCTGTGGCTAGATGGCTAGCCTGGAGCAAAAAAGCTCAAAGACAAGGGCCAGGGCCCTGAGTTCGAGTCTCACAATCAACAACAAAAAAGGTGGGGGGGGGGGGAGGAGGAGGGATCCCAGATCCTGGAGGCGGGAAAGGCACCAGTAGGTCAGAACAAAGCAGATCTTTTTTTTTTTGAAGCCAGGAATCCAGACCCAACAGGCCAGAGAAGAGGGAAGTTGAGTCAGTGTGGGAAAAGTCAAAGTCGAAGGGCGGGGTAGCTCACATGCAATCAGTGTGTAATGAGCTACCTGGTCCAGAGAGGAGGCACGAGCCACTATCCCCCCCCTACCCCCCCAATACCTAGGGCTCAAGCACCCTTACCTGGCAGGGCCAGCTGAATTAACCGACAACAGCATGACCTGAGTGTGAGTCACCTTGGCCTGAGACTTTGGCCTGAAAGAAAGCAAGAGGGTAAAGCTGAATGAAGCGGGGGGGGGGGGGGGGGGGGGGGGGGGGATTTGGGGGGGGGAGGCCTTGAGCTGCAGACATGTGGGGATCTCTGGGCTCCCCATTATGGAAGGCAGCATCAAAGTACCCCCTTCCTCACTACCCAGCCTGCCTGTGGAGGCCCCGCCCAGCCTGGCCCTCGGCCACCAAACACATTCCACATGGGGGAGGGGGAGGGGAGCAGAGCCAGGCACCCGAGGGGCCTGGGAAAGGTCAGCAAGAAGCCCCAGAGTGACACCAGAGCCCACTCAGGTCCCCTAGCACTGCCTTTGCTCTCTCTCTCCCTCTCTCCCACTCTGTGACGGTCCCCTCCCATCCCTACCTTTTGTCCCAACTCTGCCCTGTCCAGGCACCCAGATAAATATATCTGTCACAGAGACGGAGGTCAGTCCTGGCCCAAATCGTTCCTTCCTCCACCCCCACCCCGCCCCAGTACATTTGCACATACAGCAAGATGCACACACTCCCAGGATGCATGCATACATGCACATACAAACATATATGGCCAATTGGTGCACACACAGAGGCAAGCAAATGCAATCTGTAACCATAACCCACACTCACTCAGAAAGACAAACACAAAGCCTGGGGCTGGTGGCTCACACCTGTCATCTTTAGCTATTCAGGAGGCTGAGATCTGAGGATTGCAATTCCAAGCCAGCCCAGGCAGGAAAAGTCCACAAGAATACCAATTAACCACCAGGAAACAGGAAGTGGCCCTGTGGCTCAAGTGATAGAGTGCTCACCTTGAGCTGAAGAGCTCAGGGACAGCGCCCAGGCCCAGAGTTCAAGCCCCACGACTGACAAAAAAAACAAACCAACCCCCACCCCCCACAATCATACAAACTCAAACACACACATCAACAACCACATTTAGACACCTGCGTATACAGATGCATACACACATTTTCCTGGTTCAAGCATCATATCCTAAAGAAGAGCTGTGGCAGACCAGGCCATTCTCTGTTACTTCCTCTTCTGCAGGGCACAGGGTATGCGATGAATGAGAGAGTATCAGAAAAGAAGCGATCAGAGAGCCACGTGCTGGTGGCTCGCATCTGTCATCCTAGCTACTCAGGAGGCTGAGATCTGGGAATCATGATTCCAAGCCAGCCTGGGCAGGAAAGTCCACGAGACTCTTAGCTCCACCAGAAAACCGGTAATGGAGCTGTGGCTCAAAGTGGTAGAGCGTTATAGCCTTGAGAAAAAGAACTCAGGGACAGTGTGCAGGCCCTGAGTTCAAGCCCCACCCTCGACCAAAAAATAAAAAGGCATCAGATCCCAGGCTTGAATCTCCAGATGCTAATGCTTCCTCCCCGCAACCAAGGTTGGTGAAATGAGGGTACAGAAATATAAACCCCAGACCAAGTGATCCTTCTACTTGCCTGTGCCCAGGGCTTTGTGGCCTGCCCCTCCCGCGACCCAGCCCTTGCCAGGCTTTGGTACCAAGGATTCACTTGGTCATCCCTTTGGGATGGAGGAGGGCTCAGAAGGGTGCTCCTGAGGAGGACTGAACTCAGGAAGGTCCAAGGAGTCAGGCTGGGAACAAGGACACTAATACTGCCTGATGGTAGCAGAGGGTGTGTGGGGTTGGGGGGGGGGGGTGTTGCTTTGGCCTCAGCCTGGCTGGGCACTGCTCCCAAAATAGCTTGGGGGTTTCCATTTTTAGTGTGCAGAGAACAGGACTCGCTCTATGGGAGAAGAACAAGGCTGTCTCTGTTTGCCACCCAAAGGGGGTGAGGGCTGGGAGGTGGGGAGGTAGAGGGGTGGGGGGGCGGCGGTAAGAGGCAGTAGGGAAAGTCTTGAACCCGGCAAGAAGCCCAGGACTTTGCCAAGGAGGCCCCCCCCTCCCCTTCCCCCTCCTCCCCCCAACAACTTGTTTCTAAGTGATGGAGAGACAAAGTGTCTTCCTTTGGGGGAAGCCATGAGAATATGACTTGGGTGAAGGGATACCCCACTAAGTTTGACACCCCCCCCCTTCCCCGTTCGCCATTTTATTCACAGGGCAAATATTTGTTCAGAGGTGCTACTATCTAGATGCCAAGATTCTCCAGCCCTGGAGGGGGGACATGAACAAAACCAACTCCCTAAATGTGAAAACCCCAACTGGGTTTGTTTTTTTTTGGAAAGAACCACAAGAAAAATGCCAACAGGATCAAACCAAAGAAAAAAGTCAGGGCTTACAGACCCAACCCACAGCAGAGAAGGAGAGGGCAAAGAAATGTGGAACTTCTTTGATCTCACTTCACCCACGCAAAGCAGGACTTAGCATCAGTACCCTCTCCCCACAAACCACTTGGCACTAGAGGTCAAAGGGCAGTGACATATTTTTTTTTTTCCCCCTCCTTCTGTCTTTGCACAAACATTAGCTTCTGCTTCAGGTCACTAGAACAATCTCCTATTTCTCCAGATGACCCTTTTTCCATCTCTGTCAACTTCACATGATATATATGTATCTTTTCTTGGAGCAGGAAAAAAAAAAAAGTGCATCCTTTCCTCTATAGCTTCTGGAGGGAATCCTAAGGGTGGAGGGATAAAGGTCAGATTCTCTCGCTCCATCCCAGTCCACATGCTCTTCATTCCAGCCAGAACCACAGGCCCAAGTCTCCACGCAGGGCCTTCACCAATGGCTCTTCCCACAGCCAGCAATTCCACACTCCCTCACTAACTCATTAACTCCCACACCCAGCCAGCCATCAGCTCCTTGGGGAGTCTTCCTAAGCCTCCAGGCCCTAGACCGGGTCACCTTCCTGCTGCGGTGGATGGAATACACCACACCCAGCCAACTGCTGGCCTGACCAATCCTGAGCTCTGCCTTGGGCTCTAATTCCCCATTGGAAGGATGGGAGGAGGTAGAACTGCTCTGACAAGTCTATGTGGTAGAGTGCGTACCTATTATTAGAGACACCACCAAAAACCAAAGCTTCTTTTTTCTTTGTTTTTTTTTTTGGGGGGGGGTGGTGGGAGGGCAGTACTAGGGGTTGAACTCAGGGCCTGAGTGTCATCCCTTAAGCTTTTTCTGCTCAAGGCTAGTGCTCTGCCAACGTGAGCCCCATGAACCCCACTTCTAGCTTTCTGCTGGTTATGTGCCTGTTGCTGCTCAGGTTCAACCTGTGGTTCCTCCGAGATCTCCTGAGTTTAGGCTAAGATTACAGGCCTGGGTCACCAATGCCTGGCACTTGAACTCCTTAAAACAGGGGAGAGTCTGGCCTTTGATTGGAAGCCCGCCCCCCCCCCCCCCAGCAAGTTGGTACAGACATTATTAGCACAAAGCATGTGCTTCCCACCTAGCAAATGAACACCTATTCCACTGCACAGTCTGTACAAGAATACATACATCTATTATGGATTATATATATTTTATTACTGACCAGGCTTACAGCAGTCTGCAAAGGCTAATTTGGAGCCAGGCCTCATATCTCTAGCTTGCACCAACCAGGATTTCAGGCCTATATCCCCCCTCCGCGCCCCCCCCACCCCCCCTCCACCAATCTCAGACCCTGCTCAGGCTCAAAGCCCAAGTCTTAACTCTGCCTGTGCCCAGGCCTGCCCAGCCAGGCCTCTTGGGGAGTAATCCCATTCTCCCTCTCTTTCCCACTCCCTCTCTCTCTGAACCTGTCCTCAGCAGGCAACAAGACCATCAGACTTCTGCCTACAGTCTCACAGTAGCCTCTGTCCTGAATCGGTGGCTCACAAACTCAGCCTTTCCATACCTGCACATCTTTACGGGGGTCTGAGAATCAGTAAGAAAGAGGCCTTCCCTTTCTGTACACCCCTACTCCCAAAGTTTCACTCTCCAGGGTCTATCCAGAGGGGGGGGGATGCCACCCATTGACAGTGACACCTGCCTTCCTGATGATGTTAGGCTCACCAGGGACTTAGCCATTCACAAAGACCCAAGGCTCACCTGCCCAAGAAAAGACTATGTATGGAGAAGGGGGGGGGCAGGGGGAGGGAGGGTCTCCTCTCTCAAGGCCCCCCCTCCCCACTCTTTGTCAGTCCAGCCTGGGAAAAGCTTTAAGGGGAAAGGAAACCTGAACACTGCCCCCCCCCTTATTCCACGTTGGGCTCTTTTGTGCACCCCCAAGGGGCTAAAAAGGGGCCACCAACCAGGATCCCAAGCAAAGTGGCTGGGGGGGGGGCTGGCCAGAGGGGGGGGAATAAGTAGGAGTAGCTTTGGGCCAGGAAGAAAGGGGGGTCCCCCTCTTTTCAGATGAGCAGCTCCACCTCCTCCCATCTCCCAATCGCCTGACAGGGGGAAGGAGCCACCCCGCCTGGAGGTGGGAGTGGGGGGGGGGAGAGTTGGCTTTCCCGCGCTCACAAGTGTGTGGCTCCCCCCCACCCCAAAAATAAACAAACTTCCTCCCAGGACCTCATCCCCCCCCCCCCATCCCGTCCCATCCCCGGGAGATCTGCAGACACTTGGTTAGAGAGCAAGGGGTGTGTGGGGGGGGGGGGAGGGAGGGGAGGGGGGCGCCCGCCCCACCCCCGCCGCCCCCCTTCCCGGGGAACTCACCAGCCGGGGCGGGGTCGGCGGGGGTGGGTGGGGAGCGGGATGCTCGCGCGCGCCGCGGGGCTCGGGCTGGCGGGGCTCTGCGCGCGCGGCGGCGGCGGCGGCGGCGGCCCTCCCCCCTGCCCTCCCCTCCCCCGGCCCTCCCCCCCCCCCCCGCGGCCCCGGGAGGTGGGTCTCAGCTGTTACCCGGAGACCGAGACGGGCTGGAACACGGCGCCCGCCCTGCTGCTGCCGCCGCCGCCGCCGCTGCCGGTGCTGCTGCTGCCCGGGCTGCCCGCCCTCCCTCCCTCCCTCCCTCCCCTCCCTCCCTCCCTCCCCTCCCGGGCTCTGCCACCGGCTGGGAACAAAGGAGACAAAAAGCCGGGCTCCGAGGCGATCGGGAAGGGGAGCGGGGGGGAGACAGACAGACAGACCGACGGACAGACCGAGAGGGGCTCGGCTCCCCCCCCCCCCCGCCCCGGGAGGGGGGAGCTTCCCCCCCTCCTCCCCTCCCCTCCCCCACCCCCTTGGGTGCCCCGGGCCAAGCCGGAAGCCGCGGGAGGAGGAGGAGGAGGAGGGGGGGGGTGCACGGGTCCTGAATCATCGGGGAACCCTCTCCCCCCCACCCCCTCCCCCGACTCTCCCCCCCACCCCCCCCCACTCCCGTCTGCCTTCGCGGAGAGCGGCGTGGGGAGGGGGGCGGAGCGCCGGCGGCGGTCACCATGGCGACGCGGGAACGAGGGTGAGGGGGGGGGGGAGAGGGGAGGGGGCCGCGCCGGGCCTCACCTGCACGCAGGGGGTCACGCTCTGCACCCCACCCCCCACTCCCGCCTTCGGAGGGGTGAGTAGTGCAGAGCCTGATCTCTCCCCCCACTCCTGGATCCTTCCTCCCTGGGACCCCCCACCGCCTGCCCCCCTTCCCCTGCCCGCCCCTGGGGCCCCCCCCACCCCCTGCCCCCCTCCCCTGCCCGCCCCTGGGAACCCCCTGCCCCCCCTCCCCTGCCCGCCCCTGGGACCCCCCCTGCCCCCCTTCTCCTGCCCACCCCTGGACCCCCCTACCCCCTGCCCCCCCTCCCCTACCCACCCCTGGGACCCCCCTACCCCCTGACCCCTCCCCTGCCCACCCCTGGGACCCCCCTACCCCCTGACCCCTCCCCTGCCCACCCCTGGGACCCCCCTACCCCCTGACCCCTCCCCTGCCCGCCCCTGGGACCCCCCCCACCCCCTGCCCCCCTCCCCTACCCACCCCTGGGACCCCCCACCCCCTGTCCCCCCTCCCCTGCCCGCCCCTCACCTGTGTTTTGTTCTCTGGGAGCTTCCTTCCAAGCCGCTCTCCCAACTTTCTTTACCTGAACTCCTGCAGGAGCTCGCGCGCTCTCTAGCACCTGGCCCTGCCCACCTCTCCCTCCCTCCCTTTCTCTCTCCCTCCCTCTCTTTTCCTCCCCCCAACTCTCTCTCTCTCTCTCTCTCTCTCTCTTTTTCCTGGGACTCTCTTTCCGGTCCCCACCCCAGGCTGTTGGAGAAAGATCACGGGCTTTGGACCTGAGTTTGCGCCATCCACTAAACCTTGTAACCCGACACCTCCCTCCCTCCCTCCCTCTCTCTCTCTCTTCCCCCCCCCCCCAACTTTATTTGCTCCTGGGCAAGTTGAAGGTGACACCCCCCCCAGCCTGTCACAGGATGGTGTGTGTGTGTTGGGGGGGGAGCTCCAGGGAGGGGGTTCACCTCCACTGGCTTCTTTTCTTCCCAAGTCTATACCTGGATCCACCCCCCCCCCCCACTCCCAAGCCGAGAAAGTTTTGGGCAAGTCTGAACTCCACGCGTGCAGCACACACATGCGCTTGGATTTTGTTTTCCTGAGACCCATTCTGGGGCTTAGTGTAAGAACTTTTCAAGCATGGGCCTGCGAACACGGGAGCCCAGAACTGTCCCACCAATACTGGGGGGGGGGGGGGGGGGGGAGGAAGGGGCTTGAACTCAGGGCCTGGGTAGGCTCTGTCCCTTAGCATTTTTTTTTCTTTACTTCTCCTGCAAGGCTGGTGCTCTAGCACTTGAGCCACACAAACTCTGACTTGTGGCTTTTTGCTGATTAACTGGAGGTAAGAGGCTCAGGGACTCTCCTGTCCTCAGGCTGGCTTTGAACTGTGACCCTTCAATCTCAGCCTCCTGAGTAGCTAGGATGACAGGTGTGGGCCACAGGAGCCTCATGTTTTGACTCAGCTCAACCTCAGGCAAAATCATTGTATCATCACCAAGAAGACTCTCAGGGCCTCAATCAGACCAATTATTGGTTCCTTTTTGTCCCACCCCTATAAGTCATCTGTCTCACCCGCCCCAACACCCCCTTTCACCCACCTCTGCTTCTAATACCTCAATCGAGACCTACCCAGCCCTTTGGTCAAGTACCATCATGGCTGACAAGACAGCACGCACACTGCAACTCTTCTTTCCCATTCTCTAAGACCCCACAGCTCCCCCACACCCATTCCACACCACGGGCAGAATGGGCTGTTCTGATTCTCTCACTACATCTTGGTGTTTCTGATTTGCAGTGTATGGATCCACCCCCTCCTACCCCCCCCCCCTTCCTGTGCAGGGAATCTCCACTCTCCAAGTCTCCTTACTTGGGTGCATACCTATCAGGATCTACCTTGCTCCAGACAGGAGCTTTAGATTCACCCCCCACAACTCTTCTTCTCGCGACACAGACAGGACACCCCCTATCATATCAGGAGAAGGAATATTCAAGGGCAGGGATTTCTCTTCCTGCCATTCTGGAACCAGGACCACACCAGAGGTGGAAGGACCAAAATGCACCAAGGTTCATAGCAGCACCATTGGAGCTGCATCTGCAGCCTAGGATGGAATACAGGACTCAAGGGCAGAAGTTGCTTCATGAGAAATGCTTTTGGTACCTCCGACACAAACAAAGCTCCAGTGCACTCTGGGAGAGCCAGGCACTAGTTGACATACCCATCATCCCACCTACTCAGGAGGCTGAGATCTGAGGATTGCAGTTTGAAGCACCCCCCCACCCCAGACCCTTATCTCCAATGAACCAGTCAAAAATCAGAAGTGGAGCTGTGAGTCAAAGTGGTAGAGTGTTAGCCTTGAGCAAAAAAGCTCAGTGGCAGGGCCCAGACCCTGAGTTCAAACCCTACCACCACCAACAAAAAAAAAAGGGGGGGGGGAGGGACCAACTCTTGAGTGTATGCAGAGCAACAGTTTCTATTTACAAGGGACCACTAATGCATTTAGCTGGAGAAATCCTCTGAAAAAGGAAAGGTAGCCATGTATAATAGTGCACACTTGTAATCCCAGCACGCCATAAGGTGAAGCAGGATGATCTCAAGTTTGAGGCCAGCCTGGACTATGTTGTATCTCACACCTGTAATCCTAGCTACTCAGGAGGCCAAGATCTGAGGATCATAGTTCAAAGCCAGCCTGGGCAAGGAAGCCCTCGAGAATCTTTATCTCCAAGTTAAAAGAAAAAAAAAATGGGGGGGGGTGGGAAGGTGGCTCAGTGGTAGAGCGCTTGCCTTGAGCTGAAGAGCTGAGGGACAGCACCCAGGCCCAGAGTTCAGACCCCATGACTGGACCCCCCCCAAAAAAAATAAATAAATAAAAGCCATAAGAGGAGCTATGTTCTGGCACTGGAGGTTCATATTGGATTCACATTGTAATCCTAGTTACTCAGGAGGCTGGGATGTGAGAATGGAAGTTCAAAACCAGCTTGGCCGGAAAGTCAGACTCCTATCTCTAGATAATCACCAGAAAACCAGAAGTGGAGCTGTATGTAGCTGTATGTAGCTCAAAGATCTGGCCTTGACAGAAGAGTACAAAGGTTAGCACCCACGCTCTGAGTTCAAGCCCTAGGACTAACATATACACATAAAGAGATCGGAGGTCCTCAAGACCGTCTAACTCTAGGCCTGACCATACCTTTTGTGGGGGGCTCTCCCTTTGACTCTTTGTCCTGAGTGAGAGCCAGAACTTTGTCTACGCCTATGGAGAGTCATCCTAAGGCAGTGTAGGCACAGTAACATTCTAGTGCTGTCCCAAATACTCCGCACCAGGGACCCAGACTGACTACCAGTCACTGTAAGAGTGTCTCCAGGAACACTTATGAACCATTTCCTTGGGCTCTCTTCTCCCTGCTCTCTTCTGATCACATCGAGTGGTAGAACTCCCTGGAATTCCCCAAAAGCACCTGACAGGAAGTCCAACAAGCTATAATGTAGGCAGGCCAGAAAATGCAAAACAAAAATCCAGGCTTAGCTGGGTGCTGGTAGCTCAGGCCTGTCATCCTAGCTACTCAGGAGGCTGAGATCTGAGGATCGCGGTTCAAAGCCAGCCTGGCAGGAAAGGCCATGAGATTCTTATTTCCAATGAATCACCAGAAACCCAGAAGTGGTGCCATGGCTCAAGTGGTAGAGTGCTCGCCTTGAGCTGAAGAGCTGAGGGACAGCGCCCAGGCCTAGAGTTCCAGCCCCATGAGCAACAAAAATAAAAATAAAAACAAAAAGTAAATGATAGTCCAGGCTTCAGGAGGGAGCATACTCCTGAAATGGGAACCTAGCAGAGATAAAAAAGGAACTAAAGGGGGTGATCCCTTCCAGGCTAGGCCCAATCCTGGGTCTCCGATCAAAGACTTCAATGGACAAGACTCTGATCGAAGTTCTTGTAAGTAATACAAACTCTTTAAGACTTTTTAATTGGACATTAACACAAGGCATGGACAATTAAGATAAAGAAGCATTAACTACAGAACCAAGTAGGTCTGCTGGTGAGGCCACACAGAAGATGCTCAAATAGACCAAAAGCTAAGGCCAGGTACTATCAGCCTAGCTTCTCAGGGCTGAGAACTAAAGATCGGAGTTCTAGGTCACTCAGAGTCGGAAAGTCTGTGACAGTATTATCTCCAATGAACCACCAAAAAGCTGTGGCTCAAGAGAAAGAGTACCAGCCTTGAGCAAAAAGAGCTAAAGGACAGCACTCAGGCCCTGAGATCAAACCATGGTACCAGCATGCGCACACACGCACACACACACACACACACACACACACACACACACACACAGAGCAAGCCCAGCCCCGTGCTGTACCTCACTCCTGTCATCCTAGCTACTCAGGAGGCTGAGATCTGAGGATTGCAGTTCAAAGCCAGCCCGGGCAAGAAAATCCATGAGACTTTTATCTCCAATAAGCCACCAGAAAACCAGAAGTGGAGCTGTGGCTTAAAGTGGTCGAGTACTAGCCTTGAGCAAAGAGCTCAGGGACAGCGCCCAGGCCCTGAGTTCAAGACTTGATGACCAACTAAAAAGAAAAAAAAAATCAAAATAAAGACAGCCCTATTTTACTCCTTAGACCCTCTGGAGGTGGCTCCAGGGACTAGCCAGCCTTGAATAGCATGTAGAACACAGGGAGTGTGATCAAAAAGGTCACACAGGTGAGTGCTGTACTGTACAAGGTGTTCCTGTTAACCTGGGCCTCTAGCTTCTGCTCCATGTCAGACAGGGCCAGAATCATGCTCCCCTGCTCTAGCAAAGGGCTGGCCAGAGCTCCATCTACTGGCTCCACCAGGCCTGGGTGTGTGGCAGCTGTTACAAGTTGAACCACTCTAGCCATTTGGCTACAAGTCTTTTCCAGGCCATCAAGCTGTTCTCGTAAAGCCTCAAGACAGGACTGGACCTGCCGGGAGTGACTGAGCTGTTCTTTCACAGCGGCTGAAAAGGCATCAGCTTCTCTGTCTCTAGTGGGGGAACTGCCCGCTGGCGACCCAGAACCCTGGCCCTTCCCAGCATGCACCAGGCCCCTCAGGTCCACCATGAGGTCTTGGAGATCCTTTTGCTGGAGAGAGTAGCTAGATGCCTGCTCCCGGATGGCCTCCTGGAGGTTCACAGGTCCTTTCTGGGCCTCTAGGAGTAAGGCCTTCAGTTCCTGTAGCCGGACACGGTTCACATAGGTAGAACCAGCCACGCCAATGAGGGCTCCCAGGACTGACCCAATAAGGGACCAGTTCTTGGTCCTCTCTGCCCTTGTGCGTTCCTTCTCGTGACTCTCCCGCACAGCGGCTGAGAAGAGAGAGAACTTCTCCCGCTCAGAGTCCTCGGCACGCAGGTAGGCTGTACGCAGCCTCTTCTCATCCTGTAGAAGCAAAGCATCATCACAGAAGAGCAAAGGAGCTGGGTACTTGTGACTCACACCTGTCATCCTAGCTACTCAGGAGGCTGAGATCTGAGGATCATGGTTCCAAGCCAACGTAGGCAGGAAAAGTCCGTGATACTCATAGCTCTTATGAACTACCCCAAAAGCCAGAAGTGGAGCTGTAGCTCAAATGGTAGAGTACT